TAAAGCTAGATCTAAGTCTGTGCCCATTGAAGATATGCAGGGATGTGCTGAGAATAGACACTGCCGTAGCTGCGGAAAGCATGTTTCAGACTCGGCCCTAGATACTGGTATTAAGGTTGGAATACTGTGGACCTGTTGAAGATTTCTGCTATCAGTGTGCTAGCTGCATGCAGTCCCCATCTTTCGGCCGGCACCTGACAAACCTTAAAGGGTGCAGCAGTGTGCCCCTTGAAATTGATGCATTCAGCAAGGCACCTAGGGACCAGTCGTCAGCACTGTACTGGCCAATCCTGGTCAACGTCATCACATTTTTCATCTTGGTTTAACTGCTCATGGCTGCATTTGAGTGGCAGGTCTTCCTGCCTTGGTTGACTTTGAAATACATCAGGCCCAATTTCATGGTACTGCTTAGCACATGATTTAACGCTTACAGAGGCTCTGCATGTTCTATAGAGATTGTAAACACGGCAAAGGCACACTTACCTTGGTGGAAAAATCTGCTTAACTATTAATGTGACGTCACAATGGAAATCTCCATACACGCACGTGCAATTTTTGTGCTAATAGCAAAGTACATGTAACTGAAATGTTCTCTGTGAAATATGCTTACTGCTGAGTAAATCTTTGTGGTATGGTTTACACCAACATTTGCTTAGTAGCGAGCAGGGAAATGAAATTGGGCCCAGTAGTCTTCTTTCCGAAGGGATTATTTGTGCGTTAGATTTTCGAGTTATAATTTTTGTCGTCCGGTCCTTAAAAAGCAAAACTTTCAAAACGATACTTCAAGGCATGGGGCACTTTTTTACAACAGACTTGCCGGTTTGTGTGGAGATAAAAAAAAATCAAAATAGCTGGCACAAATCTCAGAGTGCTATTAGTTGGCCTTGAATGCCTGCCATACTTCCCATCTACCCACCTCTCGTTTTCACCAGCGTGTCTGTCTCATGGTTTCCCACATTTTACCTCTCACCGTCTGTGAGACAGGAGACGAACTTGATCGGCTGGAGAAAGAGTGAAAGAGTTGGAGAGGAGAGAGAAGGGAAGCCCTGGAAATCCGCGCTTGTCAGGTCAGCAAGGGAAATCAGCAGAAATTCTGCTTTTCCGCCTCCAATCAGCGGGCCCAGACGAGCGGAGCATTTCACCGGGGCCGCGCACTGGGGGTGATCCTTCTTATTGGCGCCAGGATTATGTGCACATTTATAGCTGGCTCTCCCCTGGGGAGCATGCGTGGGGGAACGTTCCATCAATTGTTTCCCCACTCACTTTCAACAATCCCCTTTCAATTTCCCGGCCAGTTTTTTCCCCTTTCAGTTTTTAAAACAAAACTGCATTGAGGTTTTTTCTAACTGCTCCAGCTTCTGTAGTTTGTCTCTTTTCAAATCCATCTTTGATATTGGAAAAGTTCACCAAAGGTTTGATTCTCTTTTTTGCAGTTTCAGATTTCAGGAAGCCATGTTAAAGGTGGTTTTGGTTACCATGAATACTTTATTGCTCTGTTGTGGAGTAAATCCCGTGTTATGATGTGAAGACCAAGTATACTTTACATCAGAACACAGAGGCTGAGCATGAGCGAGGCCATGAAGTTCAAATGACCGTAGAAGCAAACCTATATGTTGGGTTTGAACTTCACATTTGCACTGAAAGTGTTAGTTGAGCTTGGGGAGGGGGGCAAGGGTCAAATCCCCGACCCCCTTCGACCATGAGATGGTCTGAAAATCACAGTTGGAGCTAGAGATCTCTGTAGACAGAAACGTACAAACTAAGAAATAGGTTTTCACTAATCCTGCTGTTGTTGATGCTGTAGTTTGAAATGTGTACTTTGTATTGGTTGTGAGTGCTACTGATAGCGGGGCCCTTGGATCCCACTGCTGTGAGTCAAGCTCTTATCATGAGATTCTAACTCCAAGCTAAGGACCCACATTGTAGAGTACCCAGGGTAACCTTCTCGTGCAAGACAAGTGACAGACAAACGTACTGCGGTGTCTGTAGACTAAGGATTAAGCAGCTGTTATAGTTACTCATTAGCCTAATCTGTGGCAATCCGCCTGCTTCAATGAATGGGTTTTATGATACAGTTTGGCATGGCCTTGTGTCTCTGCACGTCTTGCGGCTTGTTTAGTTTGCTTCAGGGCTGCTTATTTATAGATACATAGCATGTCAGGTGCAAGGTGCGTGAGATTGGAGTTCGGAAGCACAGCTCATCCCAAACTGGTATTTCCTTTTTTTCAACCTAAGCATTTCTAAAAGTGCATTGGGTTCTTGGACAAATCTGAAGAAATCTGTTCGAAGCAAAGGTTGGTTGGCTACAGTTTACAAGTGGCCAAAAACTTCATTAACTGTGAACTAGACTCGCCAGTTTGGGATAGTTTAAATTATTCGGATAACCCATCCATTGCAGGTAACTTTTAATTGTAGTGAAAGTCCATTTTTCATATGTATGTTGTAGCTTTCCATTAGTATCACTTTTCCATTGTGGCAACCTGTCCATTGTGGCCACCTGGCTATGGTGGCCACCTGACCACTGGGGCCACCTGATTATGGTGGTCGCCTGTCCACTAGGGCCACCTGAACACAGGCCACCTGTCCATTGCAGCCACTTTGTGGTAACACTGTAGCCACTGATCGATTGAGGCCACCTGTACACTGAGGCCACATGCCCACTGTACATGTAATTACCTTACCATTAGGGCCACCTGTCCGTTGTAGTGCCTGTTGGGATTTGAATTCTTTAGTGGCAAGCTTTCATATCAACAGACATTTTACTTCATTGTGACTGCTTTTCCACCATGGCCACTGTCTAACGGGACTACTTTCATTCTAGATTACTCCTCCTGTGATTCTGATGATTGTTTCACATCTCGCTATCATAATCATATCTCGCATTCAGTTTTCATTGCTTTGCTTCAGGATTGGTCCATTGTAAGGTAGTTACATGTACTCAGTTGGCAAATACCGGTATTGAGATGAAAGTAAGGAGCCAAGTTAGGACTACTCCACTATGCTTTAGGGAAGTCTGCCTCAACTTACTGTGTTCACCATAGTTTTATCAATGTGTATTTTCAAGATAAAATAGCTATAAACATGATCCGTATCCCTCTTAAATATGCCAAAAGTCTACCTTAAACTTAGAACTTATTTCCTCTTACAAAAAAATAGCGGTTTTCTTGACCTTGTCTGAGTTAATGTCACCCCCGTTGACATCTCCTGGGATTGAAGGGTCTGATTGTTACCAGAAGACCAGATCAATCAAAATTTGGAGGAACATTTATTGACCAGAAAAAAATACAGCAAAAAGTTCATTGGCTGCTGTGGCGCACACCATCTTAAGTTGGTCTTTTACCACTCTGATAACGCACAGGGTCCACGTGCGTGCCTGGCTTTGCAGAGGAAACGGCTAGGTGCCAGCATTCTGTGTTCCAATTAGCCACTTGCCATATTTTGACATGAGGGAGGCCGGTCTAGCCTGTATTGTTCCCTTCTGATTATCACTGACTGGGAAAGGTTAGGAGTCAATTTGGGGGCTAATAAGGAGAGGAAATTGGGTAATTTTGCCACTGGGGGATTGATGGGACCCGCTTGTCTTTCTTTGTTTGTTAGCGCGGGTGTTTAAAGACCAGAATCTGTTCACATACTATTAATGCATCACCGAGGCAGTTGCAAGACCGTGTTTTTGCTGTCATGTGGTCCCGTTTGTCCCGAAAGTTTTGTGGCGGAAGAAGACTCGTTGGCTGCCGTATAATGTTTCCAGATTGTAATTTTTAGTTATAAGAAAAAACGTTTTTGGTTTCTGTGATGATCAGACAGGAAAGAATGAATGTTTCGGTTGAATTTTTTTCCAAGAAAATCAAATATATCTGAGGCTGTAGAGGAACTGTTTGTTAAGGGATCAAATGTTGTAAGCTCTTAAGAAATTCCTTCCTATGAAAGGAGATAAATGTAAAACTGTTTTGGTAAGATGATGGTCAGATGAGTTTCTGATGTAAGTCTTGCCGGTAATTGCATCATTTGGCATCTTTCGCATCTGATTATTCATTTGTTACATTTATTCATTTGTTGCATGAAGGTTTAAGATGGGAAATATTTCTGAACAGGCCTTTTTTTTGGAGGGGGGGAGTTGGATTCTGAAGTAAATCCCTCCGCTGACTTTGTTGCAGTTTTGTGTGTATTTGTGAAAGAGACAGATTGAACCGATGTACAGGGTTTGCTGTTAAATATTTGGTAAATGTGGTTGAAAAATTTCGTTGTTGGATTTGTTGAAATCATAAGGCGTGAAATGTAAGCTCAATTTGGGTTATAAGGCATTTAATTCATATTACATTTATAATTAAATTTACATTTCAAGATGTTTTTTGTGTTGGGGAGATGTTAATTTATATAACGGGTTTGCTCTTACCCAACGTATATATTGATAAACACTGTATGCTCAGTGCTTGTCCAAGAGCTTGTGAAAAAATCCTCAAGCTCACTTGGATGGGACTCGAATCCATGACCTCCTGCTTACTAGTGGAGACATCTTAACCACTCGACCACAGAGGTTGCCGGGGTTGGCTGGCCGGTCCGATTCTAGTGAAGCAGTGGGGACTGCAAACTATTTCAGGATGTATTTTTGCGTCGGGGAGATGCTAATTTATATAAGGGGTTTTGCCCTTACCCAACGTATTTAAATTTAGATTCTCAGTACTTACCTTCATGCCCATTCACACTCATTGTCTTTGCTATTACATTTATCAAAGATTTACGTCACTTTTTCTGTTGGTTTTGTTACATACCCTGTTTGTTTATGTCAGCTGTTAAGGGGGACTCCCCCTCGACAAGTTTGGTTTTTGCGAGTTCTCTGTATCTGTTGGTATTCGTACAAATTGTTTTATTTGAATCATTATTTACACATGGAAAATGATCACAATCTATTGTATATTCTGAGTTGTATGTCCCATGAGATGATGTAAAGTCAAGTAAAGTAATACTTACAAAGCGCTGTGTTGGTTCCCTTCAACTTACAGTGTCAGTCACACCTACGGAAACAGCAGCTCTCGCTGCAGCCAGCAATTTCCCGACAGCGTCGGACAAAGAGAAGATTGCTCTGGAAGCACTGACCAATCAGCTTCCATCGAGAACAATAGCAATGTACAACGGGGACCATAACGGGGACAGCAGCTCCAATGCAAGCGTCAGTGAAAACGGCGATGAACCGGTAGGTTACACCATCTGTAATTGCAACCATTTCCAAGATTGTAATCGCTGCAGTTTTACTCCAGGTTTGTTTTTTCGTAGTTTGTGCAAGTGACCAGACTTCTGAACTCTCACAAATTTTTGTCAGAAGTCGGATATATGACTTGCCTAGAATCCCTGTTGAAGTTTTCAGTTCTGAAATAAGTTCTGAATTAGTTCTCAAATAAACCCCATCTACTGTGGCAGTACCTTTTTAGCCTCTCAAGCCTCAACCCTTCGTACCTCAGACCACTCCTGTATGACATACTGTCACTGGACCACTGCATCTATCCACATGTATCTTCCATGTGAAGTAACTCTCTAGTAACCCTACCCTGATTTGTGGAGTGCAATTCAAAGAAATCTTCCGAAGACAATGAAGTCACTTATAATGGGTGTCAGCTGCCTAAAAAGGAAGCCATATGGAAACCATATTTTTACAGGGAAAAACAGGTGCAGAATTACCCTTAGCATTAACAAAGTAATACCTTAGGCGCAGTAGTATACCAAGCTAAAACCCACACACTACATTCCTCAGCCTGCCCCGAAAGTTCAGTTTTCGCTTCACTCTATTAAAGCGCCTCAGGAAATCCTCAGATCGTTGGAATTTGTTTCAGACACAAACGGTGCAAAATGTACACATAATGCTGCTTTTAGTACTTGTCTAAGGGGATATTCACCATACATGTAGATTCGTTTGGTTTAAAATAGGCAAGGGTACTTCTGGATGACTTGACTATGAGTGACCTCGTTTGTCCTTACTTTCACCGATGAGACTGAGCCCAGACTAAAAACCTCCTTTCCCCTTCCCTGATCCAATGGGACCCCCTGTCACATCTGAAGGAAAATAAAAATCCCCCAGCGCATCATTTCACACACCATATACGGAGGCCCTGCGACATGAAATTAAAACATCCAATCGATCTGTTTCCATCAAAGTTTCCCTCTCAAAAAAAAAAAAAAAATTCAGCGCCGGGGAGACGTGAGTATTCCCCGTGGACGTTTGCTGACCCCCAGCGCACCTTGTGTACTTTGTTGGACAAGTCTGTCTCCCCACATTTTTTTTCTTCATTCCTTCTGTAGACCCTGGATTAAAAAAAGTTCTGTGACTTGAGAACTGGTTGTAGTTAAGTTATTAGTACGTGATAGAGGCTGTCTGACGGGGCCAGTACGTTTGAAGTCCTTTGGGGGGAAACGGCGCGTCCGCTCTCTGCGTTAACTGGGAACACTGAACCCTGGTCCTTATTAAAGGAGCATTTCCTACCTTCCTTCCACTTGCTGCTCTTCCGCGAGGTTTGCACGCAAGGTAATTTGACGCAATTGGTATATCCCGGCCCGAAGGTTCCCGCCGACCAGGGTGACAGGCCTTTGGCGCTGATAGGGAGGGGAGATGTTATTTTTTCCTTTTTTTTTTACAGATATTGCAATCAAAAGGGGGTTGTGTTACTTTAGTAAAATGTATACACCAAAAGGGCAATGCGCTTTTTTTGTCATTGGTTTACACAGTTGTAAACCTGTAGGCACTTCCAGAGCGTTACACGTGTACGTGCATACTAACCTACACGCACAGGTATTCAGCTGCGGCAGAATGATTTTCAAAGTTGGGGGGGGCAGTTGTTAGACCATCAGGCATCAGCCATTAATAGGCCGATCCATTACAATGTACATTAATTAACATTAATGTACATTAAGTCTGAGGTAGCACCACTCATGCATATATTGCACTTGATGCACACAAGCATGTGGCAAGTTGTATACACCTGTTGGTCCAAAACGGCATTATACACCTGCATACAACCTCAATCGGAGTGGGTAGCACTGAAGTACATGTAATGGCTTTTAGTTGTGGCTTTCCAATTACCCACCCACCCTATTAGCATAGTTTGCTGTAGCATCTCACCTGTTCTGTTTTCTCTTCCATTCACCTGTTCTCTCTTTGTTGTAAACAACATTCTTTTCAGACCACATACCCTTTGCATATGTTGCAGAGTATGAAAAAGTCCATTGTCATCGACCTAACCGATGAGGACGGGAGACCCAAGATGGACGTTCAAGTTGACAATTGTAAGTAATCTCAAAAGTCGTCTGATTCATCTCTTATCAGTGTCAGGCTTCAGTGTCACTGCTCTGGTTGTGGTGGTAGCTGAGAATCTTGGGCTGTGTTCGTGCGGTTACTCCTGAGTGAGGATGCCGGAGCATTACTCTTAGGTCAGGAGTGTACTCCTGCATGACGGGGAGTTTACTCTCTCTGATCGGCGGGGCGTACTCCTGCCGTTCATGCGCTTCAGGAGAGTACTCGTGTTTAAGAGAGTAGTTCGCTTGAACGGATCCTAGGGGTACGGCTAACATGTGCATCCTCAAGAAATCAGAGTTGGTGGGGTCAGCTCGACAGTCTTGGCCGGGACTTTGACATTGGGTCAGGGTCAAAGAATTTGAAGTCCTACTGGCCCCTGCATCCTCCTTGAAGTACTGCTGTGTTTCCAATAATGCAGAGTGCAGTGGAAAGTAATTCAGCCTTTGTCATCAACTGAACAAGACAAAAAACCTCTACCCATGCCATTAATGCTATCCTATGAGATGGATGCCCCTCACCCTCATTGGCAAGATGTGAGCAAAGAGGGCGCTATATATGTGCAGCAGCAGGGTCATCCCGAACTCTCAGAAATATGTCTTTTTAAAAGAAACCTCACTGGACTTGGTTTTCTGGAGGCTGAATAACAGAGGGCGATATTCATCCGTAATGATTTCGATCCACCGTGCTACAATGGATGTTTGACCTACATACAAGGGGTACTTCTATAATCCAAACAGTTTTTAAAAATTGAAAAAACAATTGGTGGCCAAAATGGGGCCATTATTATAATCAAATCTTACTTCGTGACTCGAATCAAATTCTAAGTCTAAATTAAAACCCATTTTTATCCGTTCCATCAGCAGTGCTTTGCTCTTGCTGTATGTATATACTTAGAACGTATCATAATATGAATGATATCTTCCACTGATATCCAAACATATTTCTGCCCGTTTGCAGCGACGATTGCCCGTATGTACCGGGACACGCGGAAGCTGGACGCCAACCGGCCGCACATCAAGCGGCCGATGAACGCCTTCATGGTGTGGGCCAAGGAGGAGAGAAGAAAGATACTGGCGAGACATCCTGACATGCACAACTCCAACATCAGCAAGATACTCGGTATGTATTGTCTCTGTGCTCAGACAGTAGGGGGCGCTGTTCGCCAATGCTGAGTGCCAGAGAAGGGTACATGTGGGTATTTCATCGGTTTGCATTTAGTGTTGGGCTACGACTATGGCTACCGTCACATGCATTCACATACTTTAAACTAGCTCTTACCTAGACCCAGCCTTAGTCACAAGGTTCAGAAGCAGGCTTAACCCATAAAACACAGATTTGCAGATTCATTTCACCCTAGGGGGTTATTAATCCTAACAGTTTCAAATCCTCCTATTTCGGTACGATTTTACATACACCTTTAGGGGTTAGGGTTAATGGTTTCTGGTGGTGTCTGGTCTGTTTTTCCTTTGATAATTTTTTTCCTCTTCCTTGAAAAGGTTCCAAATGGAAGACAATGTCCAATGCCGAGAAACAGCCATACTATGAAGAGCAAGCTCGTCTCAGCAAGGCCCACCTGGAGAAATACCCGGATTACAAGTACAAGCCCCGCCCAAAACGCACCTGCATCATCGACGGCAAGAAGCTGAAGATCGGCGAGTACAAGGCCCTGATGCGGGCCAAGCGGCAGGAGGTCCGACACGTCTTCTACACTCGGGACGGCGAACACATGGTGCGAGCGCCCAACATTGGCCCCATGTCACCCCAGGGGTTGTCCATGGTGGAAGGTGCTTACTCCCTGGGGCAAGTCTCTTCCCCTATGTCCCTGGAATCGCCCACAGAGTACTGAGCCATCAAAGTGTCATTGGTTTTTTTTTTTTATATCAGGGTTTTTGTGTTTATATTATAGCCTTTTAATTGGACCATATGTTTTTTTAGACAGTTTGGTCCATTCAGTGGATCACAACTGTTGACTTAAACCACCGAATCTGAATTCAGTGTGACCAGTTCCATTAGGCATTAATTCATCAACTTCAAATGTATTGTTTATGGTGCTGTATTTGTCGAATTAATGAGGAAGTGGTGAGATTTGTCATTTCTTCCATCTTGGTGAAGAGAGGTTGCCGTATCCTGGGTCTGAGAGTTGTGATTGGACCAAACCCATGAAGACACTCAATCACATGCAGGTACAGCACCCAGACTCCTCTCATCCCAACTCCAGCTTGTCTTGGCAGCATGGGTAGACACTGACTACTTCAGGTCACAGAATCTTGAAAAATCGATATGTCTGACAGCTGCAGTGCACGCTGAAATTATAACTCTGAACCACTGCCAAATGTGTAACCAAGAAAAATGGCTCATCCAAGAAGAACTGTGCGAAACAGTTTGAGTATAACAGGCCGACAAATTTGCATTTGCAAAAGGGGAAAGGTTGGTTCCTCCTTGTATATAAATGTAACAGACCCCAGTGGGAGGGTGATGCTCCCTGACCACTGAAGATGGCTTCAGCTTTTGACCACTGAAGATGGCTTCAGCTTTTGACCACTGAAGATGGCTTCAGCTTTTGTGGATGCTTTTTGCCTGCGCTTCTCAAGTAAGCTTATCGATGCTGCCTAATGACCATATATTAAGTTGCATAGTATTACATGTAGATTCACACCACCTCTCTGTAAAAATGTGCCCACCACATTTTTAACGCTAACCCCTTACGGTGTATGTAAAAATCAGTTTGAAATCGGAGGATTTGGGACTGTGAGGGATATATCACATTTGTTGGTCACACCACAGAGTGGGATGTCGTGTACAGCGACACAACCCACTATGAGATTAACTTCCATGGTGGTACCTGCCAAACCTGCTGTAACTGATCTTCACTGGGCTCCAAACTGAGGTTCAACTTGCACAGAGTCTACGTTCACAAGTCACTTCCTGGTGCATCAAAGGTGTAGACCTTCATCATGATGCTGCCGTTTTTGTCTTGCTCTTGTATACCAAATGATGGAACTAGTACAACCTTACATATTGCTAAAGGCAACTGACTGTTTTTTTTCTTACAGCCTCAGTTTGGGGCTCTCTGTGGTAGAAAACAAGATAGTTGCCCCTTGATATGATGAAGCTCTATCCTATGTGGTGTAGCCAACAAGTTTCACACAAGTGACTTTGGTTCTACAGTAGAAGTGCCATGCTGAAGAACAAAATGAAAAATAAAACAAGTTCACTAAATTCATGACGGTTGAGAGAATCCTTGGCACAAATGCACAATACCTACCCAAGAGCAATCATTTTCACAACCAGACTACAAGTACAGTACGTCCTACCTCAGCATTCGCTCTTTGCACGCTGCCGCCATAGGCACGCAGAGCCTCGATCTAGCAGCTTGACACAATCAATATAGCCGGTTCAGTGATTCCCGTGTATGTTGCTTAGCAATTTGGTGCATGCTGTGTTCTTATACCATGCGATTGGACAATGTTTCAAAAAGCTACGTTGACACGATTGTGATGCAATTGTACAAGCTGCCAGTTCGAGGCTCTGCATGCCTATGGCGGCAGCGTGCAAAGAGTGAATAGGCTATGAAACATTACGCAATACAGATCCACTTCCGTAAATGGTGGTGTTCATCATGAACCCTAGTTCTGAAGAAAAAAAAAGCAGCTGATTTTATGTTTGTTTATGTCATCACAGATCACCATTTCTCTGTATTAAATGTCATTTATGGCTCTTTTTGGGGGAAAAATAAAAAAATACTGAACTCTCCCTTGTATATTTGCCAAGAAGCATGTCGACTTTTATCTAGTTTACTTCTGGACGCACTAGCTAGTTACATATTTAATTGACTACGTAACTGAAGCAAAACTGGGGAAGCTCAACCTCCCCCCAAAAGTCAACAAAAAGCCAAAAACAAAAAAACAAAACAAAACAAAAAATAAGAAAAAAAAATAGGATGAGATTGTCAATAACATGAGTTTGTTCTGATCGTCTTTTCTTTTCTGTTCGGGCTTTTCTGTTGTATTTATTTTTGAGTTGTTAGAATAGAAAAGGGGTTTTGTAGACTTGATCAACTGTGGGGAGAGATCATCACAGATATCTACCTGTAATAATCCTTCTGCAGCAACTTCGTGCTCTCTACTCAGGATTTTACTTTTGACCAGCCCAGACCTTTGAAAGGTTTGTTGCAACATCTGTTGTGGGAATTTTTCCCCTTCAAATTTTACAGAACTTGAGTTTTAGAGTTTCATTTTGTTTTGACAAACATCACTAGTTTGGGTCGACGTGTACTTTCACTTTGTTTTCTTTTGCTTGTTTTCATTTTTGACAAATTCACATAGTAAATATGTGAATAATATGCTTTTTGATAGATAGTATCATTTTGATCAAACATCTTAGTTCTGTAAATACAGTATATAAAAACAAAAAAGGGGGAAAAATCGAATCAAAATTGTGTTGTATGAAAACCTGCTGCCTGTGTAAAAATGTAAATGGTGCATGGATTTGGGAAATATGTCAGGATTTAGTCTGGGCCGTAGATGATGGCACCAGTCTGAAAAGCTTGCTGATTGTCGATCAGTCAACGGAATTTTTGCCAAAGGGAAAGTATGCAGGATTTGACACAACATAAAACTCTTTTGTTGAAAAATGAAAGAAAAAAATTGAAAACTGTACGCATTTGATAACCTTGAACAAAAAGGTATATATGTGTAGTCGACATTGATGTACATGTACATGTTAGATGTTGGAACGATGTTCTTGCGTAGTATGTGTGTAAATATGTATTTTAATAGATAGCTATATCAACTTTAAGCGTTACCTGTGCTCAATTGCTCAATACCTCATTTGCATAAAATTTACATTGTCTGTGTAGACAGGTGAAAACTGTAAATGTTTAGGATGGACAGAGTGGAATGTAAAGATGGCGGTTGGTGGCGCTTGGCAGTCTGTAAATATTTTCTCCCTAAAACATCACCAGCCTTGTTGAAACATGTCATAGGAAAAAAAGCTTACCGATAAACTGGACCATTATCCATTATCAAAATTGACAGTATCATGCCGAGAAGTTTAAGTGACCGTAATCGAGAAAAGATGCTTTATGAGGTCCATAAGTTATGTGCCACCTGATGTATTATTCCTTAAAACTAAGACACAGGTTTACCATGGCGGCAAGTCTTCGATATTTTAGTCATCACCTTAAGTCCATCGGGCGTAGCAAATTTCACGCCGCCATGTGTTTCCATTGAAGCCAGCTGCTTGGAAGAACTGAAATTCTATGAGGAAAAGTTGTCGTGAGGCCACGGAATACAAAGCTCTTTCTGATTTTTTAGCCTGCAGAGTTTGGGACTTACCTCCTGTTGGCCGCATCCGTACATGTGACATCAAATCATGGGAACTCCCTTCGTTGGGGAAACTATCGTATATGGTCCCAGGCCATGGACCATCTGCTTATCTCGGTATAGACAAATCTGTCGAGACGCCATTCCGAGGGGCCATTACACACCTGAGCGCGCGCACTTCGGCAATTGACTACTGCCTATCGGTCAAGGAGGAATTTCACGCGTGCGCACTGCCTGTTTTCGAACAGGATGGCCCCGTAGTAATGACTTCTAATTTTGGTCGTCGGATTCGTCTATAAGACTGTTTACTGTCATTTCTTGAAATTTACTGGTTTGGATCGTGATCATCGTGGAGGTTTCCTACCTGCATGATTAAATCTAACCAACGGCTGTAGAAAAACTGAACAAGTACAACAAATTCAAAACCTCTGAGAGATCCATTTTCAACTCGGGTTGTAATTCAAGTCAAAGAAATACCTACACATGCGCGTACGTGCATAAATATCACGTGCATTATCTTTTGCACTGACGTCACAAAGGCCTGTGGTAAATACCGCCCTCTTGTGTTGCCTACTGATTAAAGGAGTAACTTTGCTATTATCTTCTTGGCAACATTAACCAAGGGTTTAATAATCAACGCAAGGAATTTTCAACTCTAACGTAGTTGCTCGATTTTCTTTTGTATGTCTCCCACTTTTTTGAATGTCCTCGGATGAATCCTAATTTTTTGGTTGCAATGAAGTATTTGTTGTGTCGGGTTAATCGAATGCTAGAGAAGAGCGTAACGGTCGTGATAGCAAATCAACCACGTAGGCCCACTGTATTCATGTTTACAGTAGCTGTGTTCCTAATGACGATATCCACTACATTTGGTTTTTTTTTACATCAGTGGAGAAAACTGTTGGTAACTTTTTGTCAGTAATTCTTCCCTTAAACTAGAGACGAGGTTTCTGACCAGTGGAGAATGGGACGATGTTATGACCCCGGATGACCTCTCTGTATTCATTATGCAGAACTTTAGTGCGTAGTATTGTGCAGGTTTCTTCATGTATCTTCCTAACGCCGATCGCGAAGTGTGAGTGATTCCAGTTTGGCATGCACATTTTTTCTTGCGGTTGGGTGGAGGAGTTTACAAATTCATGATGCAGATGTTTTGCATATTCATGAGCGTGTTCAGCTTTCCAGCCCATTTCGCACATACTTATTGGCATATCGCCATTGAGATTCGACGCGTTTTGAAGGGGATGAAACCTGCGTACATGTGCATGTGGTTTGTCTTATTTGGGGTCTTGTCTTGCCATAACTGTTTTCCATTTGGTTTTCTCATTGATTACTCTGAGTAATCCGCCTTGAACAGAAGCACCCCCTCATCGGTTGAAGAGAGCCATGCTGGGGAGGGTTCAATTTGTTGGTAACGATGCGACGGTAGCGCCTGCATTTCCTAGTTGTTCGTGCACCAGCGAAGCTAAGTTCCAACCAAAGGAGCTTCCGTCGCGAAGAAAATTGACCCTATCTTGGTCCAGCTCGAGGCTCATAGGGCTTGTAATCGAAATGGTGAGGAACCCTTCTCAGATATGTTCAGTTTTAGCAGTCATAGTCTCTTAACACGCTGTACACGTCGCTGGCGAGTTTGTACCCCTGTTAATACGTGTAAACGTTTTTGTTAGGTTACCGTCGACTGTATAGCACTTGACCTGACCGTTGTACGTGACGTCATTAAATGGAAAGAACCAGGTTACGTTGACGTTTCTTAAAGAAGTTGAGCCTTTGTTTATATCGCCCTCTTTTGTACTCCGTTTGGGGGTTTCAATACCCTCCCCTCCCCCCCTTTTTAACTCAGGGTATGAGAAAAACCCTTTGCATGTAAAATCAGTGTAAATTGTGAACAAAAGATAGTTACACAAGGTATTCAGTGTTTAGCTTGACAGCGATTCAAATAAATAGAAGTTCAAAATTCTTCCTTTTTATATAAAGTAACTAATTAAGACTTAAATATTGGTCGTATGATGCTAGTCATTCGTGTTGTGTGGACTGTTGAATATTCAGTAGCTGTGACGTCGTAGACTAGGTGTGCGTTTTATGAATATTCAATAGCAGTAAGAAATCGGGTGCAAAACTTATGTAGTTTACTATGATATCATGACGTGGTTGTTTGAAAACTGAAATATATGGATATTACTACTGTTGTATCAACGTTTTTGTCGATCTATAAATGTCCTGTAAAACGTCTGTAAAATTTATCTGAAATTTATTATGAATTAATGGATCCGTGGTTTTTATTTTTTATAGAAACATCTACCACCTTTTTTGAGGCGAAGTTCGTGTCATTTGACTTGTTCAAGATGATTGTGTAATATAGTTTATGGACATTAATGTGAGATTCTTGAGGTTCAACCACGTGCTGTTGTGGTGCACTGCTGTATATTGTGTATGTGTAAACCAAGTATACGTACATAGACTCTTTTTTGTGTACCATTGACCGTGTACAGTGTTAGATGTACATGTGGTTGTAATTTCATCGAGAGCAGTGCCAAAATTGCTATGAAAACACCACAGTTAATTGTATTCATAGCGTTCGAAGACGGGCGTATATCTTAAGTATGGCATCGTCTGACTCGGCATTGCGGGCCTGAAATAGGTATCCTCAGTCGTGAAAGCTTCAAATATTGAACTTCTGAAAACAAAAGCTAATTCTGTTTAAAAAGTTTAAATGTATGAATAATATCGCCACAGCAAGTAGATCAAATCCCCCGTTTGATTTCGAGTGGGCATGGTCGAAGGAGAATGTGAAGGAAAGTAAGATGGCCTTGCAGTACATGTAAATGTCCTGGTTCTTTGGTGCGCTTTCTGAGAAGCCGTTTCAGAGCAAGTGTCAAAACCAAGAAATAATGTCATGGCTACTGAGGACGTCATGACTCATTGTAGGGCTTCCTTGTGTTGTGGTGCTTCGTATAGTCGTCCCTGTCGTTGAACAATTAGACGCCCCCTCTGCTATGAATCGATCCTTCCATCCGGTCCAAGGGATAAGCTCAGAATGGTGATGTCTTTAATCCAATATTAAGTTAATTTTTATTTGTGAGCTCTATTTATTTTTGTTGACTTTGAATCTGGAGAAAATGTAAATGCACACTAAATGTAAGTTTAGTCAGTGTTTGTATAACATCGCCCGAAGTGTGACCAATAAATTTTATACTACGCCAACTTATTTCGTTAACGATGTATGTATAAATATTTTATTTATATTTATAGATATGTTTAAGACTTGGGATTGACATGTCCTACAGATCCCAGCAAACTCGTACCTGTATTTGTGGAAAGCTTCCGCTAGCCGTTACAATCGTGTTGAAAGATGCAACAGCTATGGGGTATGAAAATTGCTATTGAACACAACTCTACTCACTTCGACAAGGATCGTTCTGTGTTGACTGGTTTAGAGTTTAAAAATTTCTGTTTTGTTCGTTTCTTTAATTTATTGGTGCTCCTTTTACCACCATTAATGCTTTGTAAATGCACGCCCTCTGTTGGCCTTTGTTGGTCAGATGCATGGCTTTGCTTTAATATTCTGTATTATTTTGTATAGCAAGAATACATGTATACGTATCTACCCTTTTTTGACATTAAATGTAGTATAAAGAAAATAATAAACGTTGTGCAACTATTCAGATCATTTTCGTCGTGATGTTTGTTTTTTTTCGGTGACAGTGGGGTGACACCTTTTGGTGCGCCTGTTGTTAACTAATGACGTCACACAGTGATGACCACCAAACTTCAAAAGTATGGGCGGAGATTTTTTTGTCTCGTGGGGGGGGGTTATTTACGAAAGCTTAGCACCGCCTCCATCACAGGTGAGGTCGTGACGCCGGCAAGTGCGAAGCCGGTAGTGCAGGCTAAGGGGCTAAGGGTGCGCATAGTAAGTGACTTGAAAAGTGGGATGGGGTGGTTATACTGGTAATCCCTTTGGTCAAAAAGTGGGGGGGGGGGTATAATCCTCCATCCCTGGGATCCCCCCGGTGTTCAAAGTATTTCAGTTGGTGGAGATTCAGGTGTCACATCACTAAAATTTGAATGGTTGAGACCCATCTATTTCTAAGGATTTGAATATTTAATTTCTCTATTGTCAACTTGATAGAATTTATGAAGGCAAACCACCTAATAATGGTACATTGTAAAGGCAACGCGCACATTCGTAGCTTCTTTGTCAAAGCAAGTTGGCCGTTGTCTTCTAGGCATGATCTCATTATCGACAAACAATAACCTTACGTTGCCATCGCCACCAAACATGACGCTAAGATACCAGGATTATTTTTAAGTTTAAGGCACTGAATAATCGAAGTACCTAATGCTACGCGATGTCTGAAGTTCTCACATGGACACATTTTAAGTTTCTTGAACGTGATTTTTCCTACTGAATTCAAACCCAAATTAAGAACATTAAGAATCATATTTAAATCGCTGAAACTATGAAATTCTATGAATATTAGCCATCTTCAAAAGACTAATTTCAACATTATCTCGTCTAAAAGTGAAAGCCAAAAGGCCAAGAGTAAATAAAATGTAGTCTCATTTGCATTATAATTGATCGCCAGCTCCCACCTCAACAACGAAATCAATGTTCAGCACCTGTTCTTACAGGACAGGTGCGTTTGCTCTGCGCATGCGTTCCATTGGTCCAACGTGTTTGGCCTTCTCCCAGTTTTGAGTGACGACATATTTTTCTACCGCGCGCTCGTGCCAACGACTCAGAGCAGTAGTCGAGTCCTGCAATTACTTTGGTATAATTTTTATTCTACGTATTCGTACTAACGCGCTGTTGTGTCATTACTGATGCGACAATTGTGAATGTTTTGGTCGTAATACAAACAGTGACATGGGCTGCATCGGACAAAGTTCTTGAAAGTACGAGTGGTAGAAGCGAATGATATGGCGGGAATTGATCGTGTTGGGTCATGTTGCTATCGCAACACCGAGTCAGCAGACAAGATGTAGGGGTTTCCTCCTCCTATCAACCTACATTCATACCAAGTCGGTGAAGAAGATCATTCCGTGGTCACCCTATCTTTGTGCTTGGATAAACTACGCCGGGAATGTCAAATACCTGAACCACACTTTCTGGATAGTGTTCCTTGGACTTTTTTTTGTCAATAGACGCTGCGTTAAATCTTGTCACTGGATCTTCCATTATCCCGAACAAAAAGGTCGCATGGTTTGGATACGATGTTGACAATGGTGTGTTAAATGAAGATTCCACCTGGGGACTGTTGTAGCATATTGGTGGTGTGTTGGTGTTTTAAACAAGGGCCATGCTACCGCGGATGAGTGTGTCGACGGATCGGAACAAGGGGGACATGGATACCGATGCGGAAGGGGAGGGAAACGAGCGGTTGGCCAGCGCCCAACTCCAGTCCCTCCGGTCTAGTGCACCCGCCGGCCAGGACAACAAAGTCCGGATTAACGTCGGGGGTGTAAGACACGAGACATACAAGTCCACCCTCAAGAACATCCCGGACACCAGGCTGGCCTGGTTGGCTCAGTCGGCGGCCACCAACAGCACCGATTACGACCCGGTGACCGGGGAATTCTTTTTCGACCGGCATCCGCGGATGTTCGACGCCGTCCTCAACTACTATCGTATCGGCAAGCTGCACGCCCCAAGAGATGTCTGCGGCCCGGCCTTTGAGGAGGAGCTCCAGTTCTGGGGGATCGACGAGAAGCAGATCGAGGCTTGTTGCTGGTCCTACCACACCGAACACCGAGACGCCCAGGAGACGCTGGCCAAGCTGAACGGACCCAACTTTGAGAAGAGCGACAGCGAGGAGGAAGAAGACGTAGCCCGAATCTTCGGCATCGAGGAGGAGTACCAGACGGAGAAGAAGAGCTGGTATCGAAGGTACCAGCCACGGATCTGGGCGGTACTAGACGAACCCTACTCGTCACGGGCGGCTAAGGTAAGATGCCAGCCATTTATTTCACGATTGCCGTCGTCTTTCATTAAAAACAAAAGCAGGCCTTGGGCTAAAAGCAGTTTCATCCAACCGCTTATGGTAGCTATTTAACACACGTGTAAGACTTTCTTCAGAGTCCCGGCTTTGTCTCAGTAATCGACTTCATCTCGATGCCCACTGCCTACTTCAGATGTCTACTTTTGGAGCCGAATGGAAACCCTCAAGAAATGGATTTCATCGTAAACATTCAATTATGTCTGGTGTGGGAATCATAGCGTCATTTAGGATGAGGTCCCAACTCACAGGACCTAATGCATTTAATTGACGTTAGCAGTGTAGGAGGCGAAACCGACATTTAAAATCCCCCTTGACAATCGTAGATCCCTTCGTTACATGGTGAAGTCGGACGAGAAATACGAACTCATACAACTTCGTCCATTTTAATGGTTTGACGGTCAGCTTTAACAGCAACAAACGCAACAAAGACAAAAAGACTCTCGTGCAAGTGCAGCCTAGCTCTCATTGCAGTATGACGATTCCGTGCAAAAAGCCCAATCCTAAGATATAGACCTACTCCACTCAAATATCTGTGTGTCAAGGTAAACAGTTAAGCAGTTTGCCCCCACTTAAATTGTGGCCGGATTTGTGGGCAAGAAATCGCCCCTGTTGTTCAGTAATTCGGGTTGAATAAATGTAACTAATGTTTTGGAAGAATGTAGGACGCATCGGAATGACTACGGCTAGGGCTGAACATGTCACATGCGTCAATGGAATCCATCCACTAATGGCTTCGTGTATTTCTCATTGACATAGTTTATGCCCAGTCGGAGCCAGATAGTCGGACACTGTCACACGTCAAACGGTGTCGGCACATTTCAACAAAGGTTGGGCCAAGAGAGAACTTCTGGAGAAATAATCAACCGTTTTCTCTCAGAGTGCAACATATGTCTTTGAGATATTTCCATTTCATTTCGGAGCACGAATAATTCTGTTAACCGATTAGAGCCTGCCTGTGAGATCCAACCTATGTTTATCCTGATATACCTTAGGTTAATAAATAAAAATATTTCCATTCGTATTGCCAAACCATATGGCATTTTACATCAAAACTATTCTTGGTCTGCTTTCATACTTGGAATACATCTGTATACAGCTTCCACTGTTCCATGGATAAAAAGACTGCTGGTCTACGAAATATTGATTGCGTTTGTAAGTTCAACATTAGAACAGCGAAGTTAAATATTTTCCTTTAAATGTTGGTAAGGAATGGACTCGTAATCTTGAAAATGTTCAACTGACAAAACTGACGCACATTATGAAGTTAAAGCGAAAACATTAATGGACAGCGTAATTTATGAATTTCAAAATGTTTCTCTCTGTATTTTGCCTCGAGCAGTCATCGACCGAAAACATGAGGACGCCGCACAAAATGGAAATTTTCGGACGTTCTGCGATTGGGAGCACATTCAAAAGGTTTAATTAATGTATTACGGGGAATTTCCATGAAGTGAAATTTGAAGGCCGCAGAGGCCCGAGTGAAATGTTACACCTTTCTCTCTTGGACCTCTTGAAGAACCACCCCCATTTTTACAAATTACTTCGATTATGATATAGTAATAATAAATAAATCATTTACGTTTGGATGCTGGTTGATATGATAGCAAGCAGTTTGATTTGTGACGATGAAAGGTCATGCACCGTGATTGGTAAAAAAGACGAAAGACAGTTAATAGAAATGAATTGTCTCTATTGAGAATAAACTAAAAGGCGTTGTCTAGAGAGCAAAGTAGGTGGAGCTTCTCATGTAACATCTATCCTCACGGAGGTATTCTATTCTAAACTGGAATTTCCAAAAAGGCAACAATTGGTTCAGTTTTCAAATAATGCCTTGGTTTCGCATTGTTTGTTTTCAAACAAACCATAATACACCCCACTCCATTGTAACAACTGAAAAACAATCCCCACTTAACGCTCCTGGGTCTGCATAGTGATACAGGCGCGAGCCTAGCGTGAAGAAACACGAACATTACCCGCGGTAATGGACTTGGGACTCGAGAGCGTAGCGAGTGGCTATCGAGCGGCCGTTGTACAAACAGTTCTGCCGGGTCGTATGTTGCTTTCCCACGCGGTAGGACAGTCATTTCGCCTGCGCCCGCAGCATAGAGCCCTTTTTCCTTTTTGTTTTAATATCCTATGCATTATTTAATCTGTTTCAATTTTGAAGGACGATTTGGTGTTTCTGTAAGAACACATAGAGCATCTAAAATAATAGGCATAACAATTGAACATACCTGCCGCAGGAGGCACTGGATCTCAGCTCTATTCACTTACCACATTTGGCATCAAACGTTTGTGAATGTTAAAGAAAGTTGTTGACATAAAAAAGCTTACAACCAATTTTTTAACACTCAATTTGAAATAAAATCTGAAAACAGTATGAAATAAAAATTTGAAGTTGAGCTGCCAATCTTAACGGTTGGGTAAATAACTGAGTTTTCAACACTCAGTTCATCTTACTTTCCTTTCTGAAAATGTGAACATTAAAGATAGGGAAAAAAAAGTAAAAGCCGGAAAATTACGAACACTGCTTTCATATTAAGGCCTGAATTATTCATTCGGTATAGTAGCAGGATCGACTGGATCTCTACGGGTGTGTCTTCTTAAATTTCATTTACAGTTTGCGCTTTAAATATGACGCAAACCATCTTTCATAACCTCTACGACATCCGTGGACATTCTTCGGAATAGGAGAAATGTTAGTTTAGACATGTTTTATGTTGCCTTTTAGTTGAATGAGCCAGCACGCCATACTAAAGTCAAATCTTCTGTCTGACCAAGGCCTATTAACGCAACACTGCAATGGAGATATACCAAACGTGAATTGGAAAACTGCAGCATAAGAGCTTTTCATGTCCACCACCTTAGGCTGTATATCTAATTTGAACGCTGGAGATATGCTTTTAATTAACGCAATATATAAAATATTGGCCACCCATTGTTAAGCACAACAAAGGACCAAATAAGGTTCAGGGTAAAATATGGCTGTGCGAGTATTTTGGTTCAAGCTTGGGGATCCGCGCTTTATCTTCTAAAACCGAGGAAATATTCATCAATATGTTTGGACTGGCACAAGATAAATAATCACTCCAGGAATCAATAAAACGATGTTTTGTTCATTTAGTCAGATATTCACACCGAAAAGAAAGCAGATATTCCGTTCGTAAAAGTGCAGTTACAAACTAGAGTAGCGTTCTTTGACCACAATGTCGATGTTTACAAACTCTATTATGTGACGGCTCGCCAATAGTATTTCTTTTTAAATAAACGGGCTTTATATGTGCTCAACAAAATACCTGTATAACTTGTTCAACAAGTTCGTAAAAACTATCATGTCTGTGTCCAAAGACGTCAAACTCTAAAATGTAGTTTAGATTTTTTTGGACGTGAGCTTGGACGTTTTTCAAGTGTAACACTACATCATTATCCTTCGTCTAAGCTCTTGAAGCTTTGAAATGTTTAGTACCCAGAATGACCTTTAAACGAAAACAGTCCCTAGTTATTGTCGTTAAAACCGAGATATGTACATTGCACGAGTCAGAAGATAACATACCAGCAAAGAAATCAGAACTCTAGATATTGCTGCTATCAGACAGCTGATCCTATGTGTGGAGATTTATGTCAGTTTTTAGCATTCTGTCTTTATTCAAAGCTGTCGTGAAATAACCTAGCACATTTGTCTGTATCGGTGGAGTCAGTTACATACTTTTCTCCGGTTGACTCTATTTTCAGTGGCACTTTTTTGCGGCAGTGTTGATAAAGATAAATGTCGTTTTCATTATTTTTATGCCAAGGCTTGTTCAGTCTTGGCCAGCTTTCGAAACAGTTTAAGCGAGGTCGAGTTGTCTCTGAAAGAGACTGAACACATAATTTGTTTTGAGAATAGTATCATTTCGGATCACCTTTTTTCTTCCGAAACCCTCCCCAAACATCTAAGAAAGATGCAAAGAGCAGGGTCAATTTCTTAGCAAGGCGTCGTTAACCGCGTAATTTCTCCCGGCAGTAGTGTTGATAAGAACCGGCCAATCGATGAAGTTCGCAATACTGACAGGAATGCTCGGATGTATATGTAGACGTAAGAGAGTATATGGGGCGGAAGGATACACATAAACAGCTCGTTGCACGCAGGCTGGTTGCTAGGCCCGCCCCAAACGGAAAACAAATAACATCTGGATCTACAAAAGGGCTTCTTGCACAGTCTCATCACGATCTCTTCATGCAGCGCATGAGACCTTGTGGACTACACTTCAGCAGGCGTTCAGATTAAAAAAAAATCATCCTCTTAATATGCAAGATCTAAGCCAGGCAGAAGAACGCGCAGTTCCAGAAACTTGTGGTCCTGTCGAGAAAAAAAAAGTGAGAGTATGAGATAATGTAAAATTAAAACGCTTTGAAGTGAACAGGAAGGACGTGGAATTGTTCCGTCTCGCAGCTTGTCGTGAGCAATGCACCTGCGTGCATCGCTTGACGAGAACGCTACGCCTGTAAACGATTTATTTTGTTATTAATTTCACATGCTTCTATCTGATGATGACAGGAAGGCGTTGCTACGCAATTGGGAAAACAAAAAGAGAAATGGCATAGATATGGCTGTTTGTTGTGCTACCTATATTTTGGTGCACCTGTTGAGGGAATCACAGAGCACCTCCCATTTTTAACAAGAAAATGTGCTGAAAATATAATTATGATAATACTATTGTCTTGGCGCAGTGCTCTAATGACCGACAAATCACCTCAGTCTTCCCGCAGCATTAATTGTATCGGCTAGTTAGCTGTTCAGGTAGCGCCATAATGCTACTTAACAAATGAACTACAATGTCAAACAACGTTGAACTATTCTTTCCATTTTTAAATGTTAAAACATTATACAATTTTTGCCAATGTGTGATATTTCTTGTTCTCACTGAATAAGAAGCAGTTTCAGTGGCGCCATTTTAGTCCGTTTGCCTTATGCAACCTCCCTAGCAACGAAGTCTCTTACGCCAGGAACACCTGCCGATATGAGGTCGATAACGACAGAGCTAATCCGTATCAAACCAAATGAGAAAAGAGATAAAAAACTTCCCTAGCAGACTTTTGCCATTATGAGGGGCCATTCCATTTTTGTTTCCGTACCTTGCAGTTAAGATCTCAAGAGGAGTGTTGTGAACTGTACTTGCAGGGGTCGAGTTCAGTAGCTTTAGGTCCTTCCGTGTAGTGTATTCTTTTTCGTCATTTATTTTCAAAATAATGTTTTCCTTATGCCAGTATGACACTCAACTTCTCAGTCTGCACTTACTTCAAAATACAACAACTAAAAGATGAAACAGAGTTTTGAAGGTTAATAAATCATAAAAAAATAACTTTTTAATGAAACATTTCACACAGAAACCGTCAAACCTTCTCAAAGCTCCCAAAATGGGTTAGTTCACTAGAAGCTTTGGAAGGCGAGAGATAAGATGTTCTGGAGTAAACAACTTTTAAGAGAAAGAGTGATGCTCGTACAAACACGCATGCAACAGACAAGAATATTTAGGAATTAAGCGAACTTAGAAAAGGGAAGAAAAGGATGGAAGTTGTCGGGCGATCGAGAAGCAAGGCATGTAAAGGAACGAAGAAGACCAAGAAGAGTGAGGGGTAGAGGTGAAAGGAAATGGAAGACAAAAAGAACTGGAATCAGCTGTGGAGAGCAGTAGGAAAGGGGGGAGGAAACAGGCATGGAAGCCACTCTGTGTATCCGTAAGCCTATAAAAACGACAACTAAAGCACATTATCTGATAACATTGTCATGAAAACCAGTGAGTAAAAAGGACAGGCGATACGATTGGTGTTGGACTTGAGTGGCGTTAGATCTGATGGACCTGATTTAAACTAAAATATTGGAACTGGTTGCGTATTGCCTCGTTGGGTGGATTATAATAGTGTTTTTTCTAACTGCACCATTGCAAATCCATCAGCTGCAATAAATAGCAAGCATAGAACACAATGGGATTTTGTTTGTCATATCTTCAGTCGCTTCTTCAACTGCAGGTACACCCTCCGTCACAATCCCCGTCCTATCTGTCCACGTTTCCTTCGAATGCTCTGATAATTCACCCTGGCGACTTTCAGCGCAAAAAATATGCGAAAATATAAGAACATACCTCTCCAAAAGCCCGGTTGGTGTACGCTATTCGGAATTTCACTATGGTTTATGACAGATTAGAGCTTTCATTTCCGTTAAAATACCTCCCACCAAGAGAACCTGTGTACTGCTCAGAGACCAAAGAGGTTGTCAAAATTGGAATTGATTTCCTGCAACTGTCAGAAAACTGAGCTTTCTTCGTTGAGCATTGGATACCTTATCGTGTAATTCTGCACGCAGAATAAAAAGCCATCACTGGGGTGGCATAAAGCTCGTGGACAGGTGATACGCCCACGTTCTTCTACCGGAAGGGAGTCGTGAATTGCCACATGAACGCGCGCGTCAACTATGACAAGGGGTCTATACGTGCGTTACTACCGCAGTTATGACGTCTCCTTGGACTAGTCCATAAGGATGCAGGCTAGTAAATAGGCCCAAAACTGCTTGCGCGGGCCAAGTCACAATTTGTATGCACTCAAATTCTCCACGAAACAGTGCGTTTTGTGGCTCATGAACTTGAAGATTTGTAGAAAAGACAGGTTTAGGTGGGCAAAGAGAATACCAGATTGTGTATGAATGAGATTCGGAAGAACTCGGTGTCTGAAAAGTGTCTATTTTTTAGAAGTGTAGGCATTGATATTTCAAAATGGCGAGGGCTTCACGACTACATTTTATGGGGATGACCTTTCGTGGACATAAATATCTTGAAAAGTAATCTGTTAATGAATGGAAATTTGAAAAGAAAATGAAAAATCATAGACTGGGCTTCAATTTGACGTGCGTCTCAAATGCCTTAGAAACTCATGAGTATTTTTCCTAATATTTTGAAGTTCGGGTAATTATCACTGTTGGCTATGGCAGTTTATTTACTGGTCTGCAACCACACGGGGGTGGGCTTCTACGCTGGTGGTCATTANGGAGACGAATAATACTGGCTTTTCGCAATAGCGCGCTTCCAAGAGTTTGCAACGCATTGGCCAATCACAATGCGAGCTGTCGACCAAATGCGTGTTTAAAAAGCAGTCGACAGATTCCGTGCATTTTGGATTGGCCAACGCGTTGTAAACTCTTGAAGGCGCACTATTGTGAATCTCCCTTATTATCAGCAGTAGTTTGGATGGATTAACCTGATCGGTAAGCAAAGTTTCATAGAATCCTACTGCGTAGCAGTCATAGGGGAAAAGTCGATGCTGAGCAAAACGTGGTCTCTAATCGTCTTTTGGTTTTTACATTTACATCCGCAGGTATTTGCCTTCATGTCACTTCTTTTTGTAGTCCTTTCTATCACGACGTTCTGCTTGGAGACCATGGAAAACTTTCGAACAACGACCAACGGCACCAACAGTGTGGATGACATAGTAGAGACTCACATATCGTTGTTTTATATTGAGGCCGTATGCGTCACGTTCTTCACTGTAGAACTTGTGGTTCGGTTCGCTTTCTGCCCGAACAAGCTTCGGTTCTTCATTACAGTGGAGAACATCATCGATATTATGGCAGTCATTCCGTTCTACGTAGACCTGGGTGAACGCATCAATGGGCAGCAGACTGTGCAAGTGGTGAACGACTTTTTGAGTTTTCTGCGGATCGTACGGATCTTCAGGATCTTCAAGCTGGCTCGTCACTTGAGCGGACTGAAGATCCTGGTGCACACAGTCCGCGCCAGCGCAAAGGAGCTCCTTCTGATGATCGTGTTTGTGACGTTGGTCACCCTGGTATCGGCAAGTCTGATCTACTACGCGGAGAAATGGACAATTTCTGAGGGTGACGAAGAGAAGAACGACTTCACGGACATCCCTATAGGGTTCTGGTGGACGGTGGTCACTATTACCACAGTGGGCTACGGGGATGTTGTACCCCGCTCCTGGTTGGGTAGGATCATCGGGGCATGCACGGCCATCATTGGTGTACTTACCCTTGCCTTACCCATTCCTGTCATCGTCAACAACTTCTCGCTATATTACACGCACGCACAGGCCAGTCAGAAGCTTCCCAAGAAGCGAAAGCGAGCCCTGGTGGGCGCAGCAGACGTCTTGAAGACGCACGGGAATCACATGGCGTCATCAAGCATTAGTGGTTACTCCACTCAGTCTACTAACGAGTGTGACACCAACAGCTTACGGAGTGAGGATAGCTGTCTCCGGACTGGTGAGTTATTTTACCTCTTTCAGTCAAGTAGTGTTTGATAATTTCATACATCCTAATCAATAATTCACTTGTCTATCATGTTGAGTTTCTTCTCCCGATATCAGTAACTTTCACCCTTTCATTTTATTGTCCTCTGGTAGGCCCTAACATCCTTTTCACTTCAGTGCCTTTTACAGTTCTGATCCTTGTAAACATTCCGCAAAAATCCTTACTCCATTCCTCTCTGGAAAGATTACACATGTTAAAAATTCAGCTGAACTTCTTCAAAACTATAAAGTTTAAATAATCACATTTCCCTGACTCCAAATTTCATTAAGAAAACCTTGCGTTTAATGCACCTTCCAACACAGGTTTTTAAAGTAGAGCATGTTCGGATGAGATCATAGTTGGAGGAAGAGTTATACTTCACAGACGTTTTTTCTCTTCACTTCCTCATGTCCATCATTTCAACAGTTCCTAATCTGTATCACTTTCCAAATCTTGCGAGGAGGCCAAGGCATCACGAAGCCTTTTCGCAGCTGTGCAAGTGTCATCGTTGGTGACTGTGCCCGCCAATCCCCGAAAAGCACCGCAGGGTTGTGAAAATATTATTTCGCGGTTCACGGAGAAGGGGCTATTACAATCATCGACCGAGGGCGGTCGCTGGGGGTAGGGAGACGCGGAGAAGGTGACTTCAGAGCGTGATGCCATAACGACACCATCCAAAAGGAGGAATGAATGAAGGGGGAGGCTGAGCTATCATGGCAGGAGGTTTAAAGATGGATAGAGCGGCTTGCACGATAAGCCTTCCGACGGAATGCGACTAACTCGCCCATTATTTATTCGATCACTATTTGCGGGTGTGGACATGCCGACGACTGTTTTGGGGTTTATCATGGCAACCACTGCCCTTGGAAGATCGAACAAGGGGTTAACTATAAAACCTTTTCGTGCTCAATACACTTTCTTCTTGTGCAGTTGTGATTTTGTGAAGTTGTTATAAAATTCAACCCATCTTTTAAAAAAGAGAAAGCCTCGATTCGGTAGGGCTGTAGATTGCGAATTTAGTCTTCAATGTCAACATTCGAACTGTTTTATCCAAACTCGATTTAATGGCTACACAGACAAATCTTGAAATAATCATAAAACAGCCGTTGAACGCGGACAGACTTCGTTTAATTAGCCCTAGGGTTCGTTGGCACGGCTGAGCAACGAAGACACAAACGCGAGGGCGGAAATCGAAACACCTGTCCCCGTTCCTAACTCCAACGAGGAGCGGTGAGCTGCAAGGTCTCTTGATGCTTCTGCCCCATCCCAACAAAAGCTAGAAAAAAAATCAGTAAATAATTGGTATCGGGCACCGCGCACAGTTTTCTCATTGCATTGTACATCAGGTTTTCAACCAGATCATATACATTGAAACCCTGGCGGGGATTAAGCTACATGATTTTCAACACATAACGAAGACAGGTTACTGATTTACAAATGAATGAGTCAGTCATTTTTAATTTTGTTCACAAACATAGTCGACTGGCATCTAACTCTTACATGTTCACACCCCACAATCGTTTTGGCAATTCAGGAGATCTCTGAAGAATCTCAAATTCAAGATCAAAATTACGATTTGGACAAATTACAATTTGGAAGAATAATCATTCAGCTCACCACTAATTACCGTTTTTCTAACTCAAGTTAAGGTGTGGTTCATTGGTAGTATAAACAACCTTTTTGAAACAAGGCGTTGATTCCTGCAATTTGCTTTGTGGGAAGAAAAGTAGTCAGTAAAATCAGGCGTAATCACTGTCTTTAGCCATGGCAACTCCTCAAAGAAAAGAATCAATTTTTGAAAGAAAAACAAATCAAAAATTAAATCTAAACAAAGAAGACCAACAAACAAACAAACAAACAAACAAACAAACAAACAAACAAACAAACAGACAAGCAAAAAAACACCCCAACAACCCAACAAACAAACAAAAAATATAACCAAAGAAAAGGCAACGCTGCTCTCTACATTTTTGCCTCTTGAAACGGGTGTTTATGTGCATTTTTATTCGTTAACGAAATTTAAAGATATTCCAAACAGGATGTCTGCAAACACCACACAATCAATTGAAAAACACATGAAAGAAATAGATCCTCAGAATACCTGGATATATAATAAACTGTTTTCACTTTTAATTGACCAGAAATGTTTGATCCAACGGCACATAAACCTTGTTAGCGGTGAATGCCACATATACATGATACGGGGATAGGTGTACATCTAAGCCTGTTCCCTTCTCACATATTGTTGATACTTTTCCAATTAATAATCCACACAGCCATGTTTGTTTAAAGTTTAATTAATATCGACCATTTTGTCTGTCGGGTGTTTTGTTAGACCACGGACACGACGTCGGTACAAGACCGGCGTAGACGGGTAGTGCACGGTGGGTCTCGTGCGCTCGAAACGGGTCACGCCGACGGCCCTGAATGAGTCAATTTACCGACGCGTCTCGAGGTTTTAAACAGCTGTTTGGCCTGTTTGCAAACGTGGCACACGCGCCTTCGTTGCCTAGGAGAGCACCAAAAATGTTTCTTTGGCGCTGCAATTTTCGCCGGCGCACCAGTAGGGCACATCGACCAGCGTTAAGAGGCCCTTTTGATAATGCCAGTTAATAAAAGAATCTGGCAATGTGCCAGTTCGACACGTCATCTGACATTTTATAATTGGGCCAAATTATGACATTTACACAACATCTGAGCTAGAACATTTTATTCAGGCCTCAAAATTTGAACTTCTTTTGTAAGTACCACCTTGATGACGTACGCAGCGTCTGGAATGCGCAGCTTAAAGGCACCTTTCTCTATATACGTTTTTTGGTACGTTGCGTACACGATGCGACCCATTAACATAACACACGTGTGCGTTGCGTTCCATATGCGCGTCAACACATGCGCCAAGCGTTGCGTATCCGTCAAAATCGCTCCTGGGGCGATTTTGATGGCCGAACGGATCGCACACGTGTGTTATGTTAATGAAGTCGATATTTGCGCCCGTGAAAGTAAAAGGCACGAACGCATCGTGTGCGCAACGCATCCCCAAAACGTACATATATGCATACGGAAAGGCGTTTTTAGTGTGGCTTCTCCATAGAAATCAATATAGACCTAGTTAAAAAGTGCATGCACCCCAGGTGTCTGCTAAATGACAAAAAACCAATGACAAAAAAACGACTAAATCCCCGATCTGCACTGGTCGATGCATCCTCAATTTTAACTCAGACACAAGTTTGAGTCTGGCCCATCTGATAATTTATGATTCTCGTTTAAAAGGTCACTTATAAATACCTGTTACAGTTTAGCTGTTCATTTTGGTCGAATGCCCTTCACGTGTCCCGTCTTTAATGAGGGAATAGATATTATCAGCGTCCAGTCTTCTGAGAACATACTTATTCCCATTAATACCTCTGATTCAGGGAGTCAAAAGAAGTCAACATGTGATGGATTTCCAACGATATTGTTCTAAAAATTACTTTCATTTTCCGAACATCCCCGTCCATTTCATGGTATATTCCTTTTAAATGTTGTCCAATAGAACATTTTTAAATGAACTTGGCGCGCGCGTGGCGCGTTGGGCGCACACAGACTCCTGACCAATCAGACTCTATGTGCCTGCAGCTCGTTATTAACGCAGCGGGCATTATCAAATGTTGATACGCGGTCACATGACGCATTTCGACCAATAGGAATAGAAAAACTGTCCCAGGTAGCTACAAATGGATAAATCATATAAAGAAATTGTTTTAATACGACTACTTGCGAGAGGAACATACCATAACACGGCGAAAGGGGTGTTTGCCAAAAAAATGAACAAAAAGAGTTGAACAAAATCGGTAGCAATATATAAATTGTTATCAATTCTTAAAACATGTTTTGACTTTGGTTCTATGTTTGTACTTATGAATGGAAATGTCATAATGCGCTGAAATGGTCTCAATGCGTTTAAGAGCAACTCACAAGAATGGACGCTTGCCATGTTCCTTGCCTCCAGTTCGGGCGTTATCTATGTCGATTCTCCTGATCCCAATGTTTAAGACAGGCTAAGCACACCATTATTTTCCTTTTATCATTTACTTCTGTTTTACATCTTAGTTTCTGGACTGGTAACAGCAAACGGCAGCGTGAAAATGCCTTCATCAGCAATCGGTGAGAAGACTCAGATATCCGTTTACTTCACCGATGAGGTCAGCGACAGCCCCTCTAGGGCAAGATCACCACTATCTCCGTCTCACGGGGCTGCTGGGAAGCTATCCCCATCTCAGCAGCGGAGGATAGGCAAGAGGTCTAGCATCATGCCGTCTGGACACGCGGGAGTTGGAAGAAGGGAAAGCTTTGCACCTAACGGTATAGCCAATCGGCAAAACGGTAAGATCATAGGGCGTGACAGGAAAGTGAAGCTTAGGGCAACTTTACCACATTTAGCGGTGCTTTTGGTGGCGGGAATAAACAATAGATTAACTCGTACACATCACGATTAGACTGTCATATCACCACATATGCACACTCACCATAACCATCACTACCACCACAGAAAGAGACCAGGTATACATCATATGACTGTTAGTCAGGAATTATTGAAGTTACTTTACTGAAATCTGGTCTGTTACTAGGTGTGTAGTGGCGATGCGCACTGACATTTCAACCTTCATGCTGTTTCACATTTTCATGTTTCAGGTCGTTCTAGATCTTTGGCAGCTGGTCCTCTAAGGCCACCTCCCCGGCGGAGATCTCTCCTGCCATCCATGACCGAAGTTGACATGTGATATCACCAGACTCACGGCAAAACACCATTAACTGTAGTTGCTTTTAAACCCAACTAATTAACTTCTAACTTGGCGATCTCAAAACCTTCCAAGACACATCAGTTCACCTTTAGCTGTGCTATCTTCTCAATCCTACCAGCTACTCCTGCAAACTATCTATGCCCGCATGGGATTTCGAGAGAAAAACCAAACAAATACGTACCTTAAACTTGTGAGCGAAAGAGGGATAACATGCAATGTTTCACCTTTTGCCATCTGTGTGTTCTCGCTCAGGACCGACGATGGCAGCAATTTAAAAATCGTCCTTAAAACGGTATTTTTGATTGAGTCATTGCGTGAGACTAACTTTAAGAAAGCTTTGCTTTAAACAGATAGATCACCGCAAGTAGGCTCGTGTTGGTCTAAGTTATGCGGGAAATTTTCATCGATAAATTGTCAACTGATGGCGCTTCAATTGAAACAGTCTCTTAACCGTGGATGTGGGGCACCGTCAATTGCTACCAAATGAAAAAAAAATGACGGTATGATATGCGAGGTACCCTTGCAAAGTAAATACTAAGTGGTGTGAAAAAGTGTAACATTAGAACTCCTCTCTCTTTGCTAGAATTCTCGTAATCTTTCGGTGGAAAGTAGTTATCATTTCACAGTTTCACTGCTGTAAATCAGACATATCCGTGTAAAGTTAGGTATTTAGTTCACCTATGTAGTTGATGTTTGTGTGCATTTAAGAATACAACGTCTGAAGAGACACATTTACATGTAGAAAGATTAGATGCTTAAGTTCACAGCGTAGTCATGAAACATCATGAAACTTGGCTTAAAAATGAACCTGTTTCAAAGCTGTAGCTTGTCCCTCTGCTCTTTTCCAACGTACGCACATGATACTCTCCAAACGCTGCAGGTGATTTAGATAGATAAAGTGCCACATTTGTTGCCGTCTACGCGAATATGTAAAAACACATCTTGTACATAGTGTTGTATTTCTAAAACCCATGAACATAAGTGATGAAAAGCTTCTGAAGCTTCTTTGTCAATTTGTAAAAAAAAATGAGGAAATAGCAGTTGCACATATTTAACTATTTTTCTACTCTGTACTACTAAACGCAACCCAGCCTTAGCTATTTAATACTTCTCACAAAGTGATGCATGGTCTGGCTTCTGATTGGTTGATGGAAGCACAGGTAACGCCCTGACATATAAAAACGGACTGACTAACCGACTGAAATGACCCAAAACGAGACTGTTAGAACTTCTTTGAAATAATAAAGCAAAATAGGGCGGCTGAATTGTAAGTGGATAAGAGCAGATGCAAAATCAAAAAATAAATCTTCCCAGGCTAGGACACTGGCTCACGCTATAAGCTCACTGTTTTCATCATTTGCTGTCATCTTAGAGTAAAACGAAGTGTAAGGGTTTGGTTTCTGCCTTGTCAAACCAAGTGAGTGTCCGAGAATTCGGCCTACCAGTGCAATACCTAACACAAAACAGGCGCACAATCGTTTCGAAGATATTCTTTATCTTAAGCACATATCGATACGTAACAATCGATTAAGAAATAACAAATTGGGAGTAATATTACAGAAGTGCAAACATCCATTCCCCTTTCATTGGAAACAAAAATTATTTCTTGGAATATTTCCGGGAAAGGTGTGACTTAGACTTGGCACATCAAAGAATAGATCAAAATTTCTAAAGAGAATAGATAACACCTGTATAATATAAAGCTTAAATGTCCATTGATACGATTGCCATATGTAAAAAGCATATCTTAAGAACAATGTTGAGTTTACATATTGATACCAAATTGACTTAGTTTTGCAACACAAGTAAAGCGCGTCTTAACACTGAAGATAAAATTTCCCCAATGTTAAAAAAAATTCTGAATTAATATATTTGGTAGATTTTTTTAATAGCTCCTGTCTTTCAGCCTACCCAAATTATTAATGAATGAATGCTCAGAAATAGTATATGGCTTCCTCATAATCTCTTATGATATGTAAGAGTTATATTTGAAGGTAAGAAGCAGTAATTTGATACATGTTTTGGTGGCCTCGCCTTTCAACGTGTAGGTATTTGATAATCCCCGTAAAGTTTAAATATAAAACGAACTGTGCCAAAGTTTTGAAAATTGAAATTAAAAAAGGTACTGCAAATTTAAAGATTTAACTCTTTGCCGATCACGCCCCTATTTTTAAATGTTTGGATCGATGTATTTCACACCAAACAAATTACAATGGCCTTAACACATATGATTATTTGAAAACAAAGTACATCTAGGTATATTGTGAAATAAAAAGTGCATACTAATAACATTCAAGCGATCAACATACTTTTCATAGGTAGTGATCCTCTGCGATAACCAGATAAACATTAGGCCACAGCAGAATAATTATTGTTAATGTCACTTAGAATGAATAGCATCTGAGTGTCTTGTAGCGTTGGATTCTACTGCATAACGTGCCTTGGCTTTGTGTAGTAATGGAGTTCACTGACATTGAAAAAAAAAAGAATTGACATTTTTGCCTGACAAATAAAATGTGCAGCAGAGAATTTGAAACCTCCAACCTCACACCAGTTGTCTTATGTACCTGTCACCCGATGGCCACAATGGGCCCCCAGCTGGACCAAGAGAGGGCGCTGTTTTCTTAGCAGTGGAGCCTCCTTGGGTGGGAACTGAGCTTCGCTGAGTCATGAACGACTAGGAAATGCACGCACCATAGGCGTATCGCTACCAAAAAAGTGAACCCTCTGGACCAAGATGGGTCTTTTCAACAGAAAAGTAAGACTTCTGCTTGCGACGTATTGTAGGCTAAGACCGACATTCTAACTTCTAAAAAAGCCGGATTGTGAGTATTCAGCCTTATGAAAACGAAAGCATTTTAGAGTCAACGGTGTGTTTCTCCTTAAATTGCTCATCTGGGTTTTTGACAATCTTGTTTACATTAAGTAAGATGCTAAAATGTCTTCGTAAAAAATGTGAATTCAGAAGATAGGAAAGATAGGACAGTGCATCGCCGTTTGTCAAATAGCGCTCTGAAGGGTACAGAGATTGTAAAAGGGTTGACTGGTTACAGGGTATGTATTGGTATTTCCCGAAGATTAGTCAAGTTAATTAATAATCCTCATTTTACAGAAACGTGTTTTAAAAATTTAAATTTAGTAAATATGCACCAAAACGCAGTACACAATGATGTTTCCATTCGTTAGTTTGTCCCACCAAGTCAAATTGAGATCAACTCTTTAAAGTTGGCCTCATCAGTCGGATCAGCAAAGTTTCTGAGGTCAGATTCATTTTGGGCGCAACTAGTTGTCGATAAAATAAAAAAGGTTCGCTCCATCACGACTCAAACTCATATCGACTCAAATCAAACTTAAAAACCAACGCAGATTAAGACAAAGTCTGGAAAATGGAAGCGATTAGGGAAGTTTTACTACATTGGACTGATTAGGAAGCCGGCAAATGAAGAATATTTGGTGTCACCATATATGGCTCTGTTGGCATTATCACCAATCTTTACGTATACCTCGTCCCCCATCACCAAAGCCAGGACAACCGAATTGCTGGACTGTTGAAAAGTTCCAGAATCGCTGTGATGAATGGACGAAATGTGGTGCCCATTCTTCCAAAGTTGACCATAAGGTTGTGAATTGGACAGCAGGCTCACCGTGAAGAAGTAAGCACCGGGGGCTGAGCAGGTGAACTTGCCTGTTTGCGAATCGTATCCGCTTCCGAAATTGCTCTCTACGTGATCAAAAACGATGATCTCGCCTTCCCGGTTTGACCCACTTATATGCGATGACAAAAGTGCGGTGAAAGCCACGGTCTGGCTTGGAGTAACGATGCCGGGCTCTCCTGGCTCTCCCTTCTGTCCGTCAGCTCCAGGTTGCCCTGATGGACCTCTCGGTCCCTGGATTCCTGATTCACCGGTTTCCCCTGCCAGCCCTGTTTCGCCAGGATCTCCCTTGAGTCCAATCCCAGGTTCGCCCTTCAGGCCGATCTGTCCTGGTAAACCGTTGCTTCCCGGAATACCTGGGACGCCAGGGATTCCGGGTGTGCCCCAGGGACGCTGCAGACATTCATGGCAGCAGTGACATTGCGTTTGAGAACTTTCAGTGTCACTTTGTTGAGCAAAGTTTCCACGGATTGCAACCAGAAATACGACAACGGTAGGCTTGAACCAAACCTGAAAATATACAATTGTACGAACACGCTCTGTGGATAGTGTTTGTCGTTATGTCTGTAGAGGTTAGAACAGTTTTATCGTGTTTTGCATTCAGTCATATTTTTCTTAAATTTCTTAAGTCCTGAACTTACTTGTGTCGTCATTTTCTATACCCTTGGGCAACTTCTAGGCAACAAGCATCAATGGCGGTCAGAACAAGCAGAGGTGCGTCGTATATTCTTTGAAAGATGTATGAAATGAGCGTACCTTACAGGACGCCTCTCCAAATCCAGGCCTCAATCATCGACTAAAGTTCAAAATGATCAGATTTAGATTATTCATTGGCCAACAATATTATCTTCAAACTTCATCGGTGCAAAGTGTGAAGTGCATTTGACACACAAACAATAATGTGAGCCAGAGTGCCTAATATATTTTGAGAACAAGGAGATAACTACTCTACTCAGCTGTTGCACGTTCATCCTGGAAGTTCTATATTTCATTGGAGGTCTCAGGACAAATACTGCTAAATGTTTACTTGACAAAAAGGCTTATTGTCACCTAAGCTGCCACGAAATCTTTCTTCGTTCATGAAATCTTTGTATAAATGGTTTTCAGTTGGTTTTGGCCGGGCAAATAAGTCTGCACTACATTCGTTTCTGATGGATCTCTCCCCCACATTACATGAGGATATGCAACAACTTCAGAGTTTATATTGAGTTGCCTGCCTTTGCCGTGTCATAGACCGCAAGCACTTGATTGGGCAGTGCATAGGAAATATTTAGATAATTTGATCCCGTCACAATGTCGTATTTTGGACTATCACGCACTGACTCTTGAAGACTTTATTTCAAGCGGGTATAATCTCACACAATTAATATGAGGTAAACCTGACTTGAGACCCTTTGAAAACTGTAAAAACACCAATTTCAGATTGAAAAGTGCCAAAGTCTTTAAATTCAAAATTAAATTTAAGAATACTCGTTGTTTTTCTTCGTCAGGCGCATGAAATTTTGATTTAAGGGTGCCATTTTATTTTTGCATTCCGACAAGAGCTCTTGATTACACAACGAAAATCCGAATAAGGAAATGATTTCAGCACTAGATAAAATATTGTGCACACATTCACTTACAATGAAGGCACTAGTCAGGACTACGCATCCAAAGGGACAAGGAGCGACCCAAGGGCCTATAAGGCTGAAGGGAAATAGACATGCACTAGTGACTTTTATCAATCAATATGTGTTTTATAGCACACCTCTGTCTCAATTTAAAAAGGAAAGAATCTCTTAGGAGTTTTGTAAATGAAATATTTGAATTCAGTCCCACAACTAATTCAACCAGCAACACAATGAATAAAAGAACGCTTCATTTTCTCCGGGTTTCAGTTTATAGGTTGTTTACTGTTCTCCGCATGTGAGGGCGCTGTCACCAGTTAAATTTACTCGGACACAATGTCTTGGCACGCTTCAAATCTACGCAGACGCAAATTTCACGTACTAGCTGATATTCATGAACCCAACGTAATCGTGTTTAACCCACCTAGGATTATGAGGTTTGTTACAATATAGTATATAATGCGTGGAAATAGCAGCGCGTCAGCCAATGTAATATGCCTATCTTTTAAAACGTGAGAGAGTTTTCTTTTAGAATTTATAATAATGCCTATTTGTGAAACACGCTTACATTTTTTCCATTGCTTTAGCTATCGCACAATTGGTGCCCTTTGATTTGAATTTCAGAGAGTAAAACTGGAATTCATCTAGAAATAAAAATTTAACAACCCTAAGGCAAATAGTATCATATCGCTACAGCTATTAGTTTTCACCACCGCTTTTGTCATACCTATTAATTACAAGTCTTAGTTCACATGTTGTTTGTGCGCATGTTTCCAGTTGTGCATTACAACTTGGAAAGGGATCGAATCGTGTTGGCTCTATAAGGCATCATTGGCTTTCTTTTCAGCATCTAACTTTAAGCGAGTTAACTTGATAAATTCTACATTGAAGATTCGCCATTCCCTTTAAATGAAGCAGCAAGTAATAAGTCAATAAAACTACCGGAATTGAAAGGCAACTTGTTCATTACAATTGTACATTTCTCGTACCGCTTTGGACTAAAGTTAATAGACTGAAGCCAATATATCTCATTGAGACTTGCCAGGAGTATCTTGCTGCATTCCCGTTTTGTTGTTCAGGAAAATACTGACCACGCATTTTGAAACAGAATCAGAACATTGAACAAGGTGTATATCATACTTAAAAATGCATTAAAACCATTGATGTGGCTTAAACAAATTCATTCTTTATTTCCTCTAAAAGTCAATCAAAAGCTGTGGTATTACTACTGTTATTGCTGCTGATAATTGCGTACTTAATGAGGTATTCATGCAAACATGCGCACATCAATTCTGCTAATTTTCTGAGACAACTTTTGTCATATGGTTGAGTTAGGTGCGGGAGATCAGAAAGCCAGAAAACAAAGAATATTTGTCTGAATTACTGTGTATGCCACTGTCATTACCGCCAAACTCGAGCCAAAGTGTATCACCTGCAGCCAAATGAACGGCTGCAGAATTGCTGGACTGATGGCTTGTTCCGCTGTCAGAATCAAAGATCGAAAAGATGAGTTCTTCGTTCTTTTTCAGCTGCACAAAAGGTCTTTTTTGGTCTTGTTGTATGCTGACTGTGAAGAAGTAGACTCCAGGAACAAAGCAAGTGAACACGCCTGATTGCGAATCGTACCCGTCTCCAAAATTGGTCATGATGCTGTCAAAGATGAGGATATCACCCTTGTTGCCGTTAAGCGGTAATGTGCGGTAAGCGGTAAATGTGAAGGCAGATTGCATTAAGGAATCCCCCGGATGACCCTTTGGACCTCTTCCACCTTCTTGTCCCTTCTGTCCTTTAGGACCAGGTCCTCCCTTTGGGCCAGGAAATCCGTCACGACCTGGAGAACCCCTATCTCCCTTATCACCTGGGAGGCCAACGTTTCCCATGGGTCCAGGCAGAAAAAAGCTTGAGTCACCTTTTGGGCCAACGAAGTCACCTTTTGGGCCAACGTATATAGGCTCCCCTTTTTGTCCCGGAGGTCCACCAAAGCCCTTAGGGCCACGAGGTCCCCGTTCTCCTGGTTGGCCAGTGAGTCCATCTGAGCCAGGAATCCCAGGATCACCTTTCACTCCAAAGCCAAGGTCACCTTTGAGACCCTGAGGTCCCTGTTCCCCCGGTTGTCCCCGCACACCTTGCTTGCCTTGGTCTCCCTTCTGTCCTCGGTCACCTTTCGCCCCTATAAGTCCAGGCAAGTTTGTGCCGGTATCTCCTTTTGGGCCTGCTGGCCCTGGGGGGCCATATGGACCAGGGATTCCAGGTATCCCTGGAGTACCTGGATGACCTTGGCAGCAGGTGCATGACCCTTCTTCCTGTGGCGAAGTCTGGGACTCAACTATTGGGGTCACACTGCCATACGCCCCGAATAGAAAAGCCAAGGTGACCACGAGGTACTTGCAATCAACCTGTGAGAGGATTGTAAATCTTCTAAGTTAACTTCAAAGCCATAATTAGCCAAAGATTGGCCCTTCAATTTACCCACGTCCACCATTTAATACAACTAAAAAGGATTAATAAGTGACCAACGACAATCAGTCAGAAAATGTTATTCATTCAGGTTTTCTGTAAGGGATATTCCATTATATCATACATGATAAAGATTTGGAGCCGAATTCCTTCCGGTCCATTCACCATTGATTTCTTTCAACCTTAGACTTCTATCAGCTGTCGCAAAACTAATAAAAATTGTTTGTTTGGTTGGATAGTTATGTTAACTCTGCAATGTATTGAAAAACTTCAAACATCACTTGTAACTAACATGGACTGTCCACCTTCAAAATATTTTTGTTATGATAGCAGTTTCTGTGAATCAGCGGTTTACGTACTGTTACCGTCTTCCACGATGAGTTCATCTCCCTTACTAACGGTGGCGTCTTGCACCAAGACTTGAATGTAGGTAAATTAAACACGATTTTGTCCATTTGAGTATAAATGCAGCAAATATCTGCTTCAAAGTAGGTTAACATGTTCGAACTTTCAGACCGCATTAAGGAGAACTCTTCCAGCAATTTTACCCAATTACATCTTGTACGTGCTTAAATTAATTGTGATACTTAAAATACCCAAGTGAAATATACTTCGAAAGAATATAAAACTCCAACTAAGTAGTGAAGTACCAAAATGAAAAGTGTACTTACTTGTGAAGCCATTGTGTACCAGAAGCATGTATGAATTTGCTTTGTTAGGTCGATGGCAAACTGCTTGCTTGGAGCATGAAGTTCATTTTATACCCTTCTTGCGATCAAGGAACAATTCAAGAGGGACTTTTGATGAATAGTAGGAGGCACGTGTTCTCTTTCACGTTTCCGTCTCATGCTTCCTTGGAGGCGTTACCTTGCCTGCCCTTATTAGGGAAAATGCATCATCATAAGAGTGATGTGTGCCTAGATGTTATCACCAAAGGCACTGTCGAGGCAATCTGACCTAAATATCAAAGGGTTGGTCTTGGAAAGGCAGCTGGTTAGTTATTGACAAGTTTTAATTCAGCACAGAAAGATAAAGACCTGGAGTTGTTGCAAAACAACCTCAAAATCAGAGTAATTGGCCACATCTTCGATTGAAGGAAGTGATTGATTTCGTCTAAATGTGCAAACGTTACGTCGTTTTATTTGAGAAACGGAATGAAAACTTTGGAATGTGCACAGCTTCCAACTCCCAGGGCACATATAATACGCTATTACACATGTTGAATGTAGTCATGCGTATGTTTCGAATGCGAACGTCACGTGACAGGCTGTCGGCTAATCAAGATACAGGATCAGTGGTTAGCTGTTTTAATTTAGATTATAGCTATTGAAACGTCGATTTGAGTTGAAACATGCAAATCGCCAATAGCGTCCGTGTATGATGATTTGATATTGAAGAGGCCATCATTAAATTTATCTTACAATGCACTGCAAGAGAAAATTACTCATTTTATCCTAGTGAATTGTCTAATGAAGGTATTCGCCATGAGTTTAAAGTTAGTTTGAATTATTCTTTAGTTAAAATTCCTGCAAGTCTGGGATTTTAACATCGCCGGATGTTACCTGTAGTTTGTGTATTTTTCCCAACAAGTTGATTTTTGTTTCTGACAGCGTGTGCTTTGCAGTAAATGTCTTGCAGAATTTGCAGAATCGCTGACCTTCACTTAGACGAATGTGAGCATGGTGCTGGGCCAAGTTACTGCATTGTTATTTCACGTCGCCTCTGAGCACCACAGCGAGTCATAACTCCCGACCATGTTTTGATATCAGTGATCTGTGCTAAGTGATGTAGGACAGGACGTGAAACACAATATGCCGTAATACTGCTGACTGCATGACATTCAAAAGTTTGGTTTGAGTTCTGCAAGAAATAGTACTACTATATCAAACTGTAACCCACTTCACTTTGTAAGCAAAGAAGTGAACTTCATCAGATTTGGAATATGAATCACCGGTTTTCAGTCTGGATTATGTAAACCCTAACATAAACCTTGAGGCTTTTGTCTTAAGATGAATTAAAAACCAAAACAAAGCAGCTAAAGGGACAGTTTGGATGAAGGTCTTACCTTTGTAATGTTTTGTTGTTCATTTATTGGAATGATCCTCCTCGTCCTCCTCGTCCAAGTTCAATGTAAGTTCAACAACAACAACAACAACGACGACGACGACGACGACGACGACGACGACGACGAAGACAACAACAACAACAACAACAACAACAACAACAACAACAACAACAACAACAACAACAACAACAACAACAACAACAACAACAGCAACAGCAACAGCAACAACAACACCGCTCAAACTTTCCTTTGCCCTGGAAATGAGCAACTCTCCTTTGACTATTCTTTCAACAAGTCTTTGTCGCAGTTCCCGACTGCAGGGTATGTTACGGAACTGAACACTTTAATACAAACGAAGGAAGTGACAAATTGCGGAAGCCATGTGTTCAAAATCTAAACTGAGATGACTCAAGAATGACTCATTTTATGCATGATGCATAGATATCCAATTGTGGTGTTAAGAAGTAGGAACAGGTAAGGTTGCCTTTATTACCTCCGAAATTCCTGAATATGCGATGATGCGAATTTCTTTCCACAGATTATTCAAATTATGATTTTTTCTTTTACTTTTCAAGGGAATACCGAGACACACCCAGTCCAATGGCTTTACACTAGTGGCCAACTGAAATGGAAAAACCTCAGAAAATCATGTCGATTTCGTAGCGTATAATTATTCTGCAAATTAGACAATATTTTGAAGCACACAAGAGAGGATAACCTTGCACAATTACTAGGAGGTAAACCAGATTCGAGACCATTTGAAGAACTGTAAAAATATCAATTTCAGATTGAATAGTGGCTAAGTCTTTACATTCAAAATTAAATTTAAGAATACTCGTTTTTTTCTTCGTCAGACTCATGAAGGTTACATCTACGGTGACATTCATTAGTTTTTATCAAACCCGTTTTTATTCAAGGATGCCATTTCATGTACATGCATTCCGACAAGAGCTCTTGATTACACAAAGAAAAGCCGAATAAGGACATAATTAAAGCACCAGGTAAAATATTGTACACACATGCAATGACAATGAAGGCTCTAATGCAGGAATACGCACCCGAAGGCACTATGAGTGACCCAAGGGCGCAGGCTAAATGGAAATGGACATGAACCTGTGACTGACTTTTATCAATTAATAATATTATGCTACATATCACACCTCTTTCTAAATTTAAAAAGCCAAGAATCTTATTCAACCAGCAATACAATATGTAAAGGAACGCTTTAATTTCCCCGGGAATCAGTTTTTGGGTTATTCACTGTTCTTGTTATCTGAGGGCGTTGTATAACCAGTCAAAATTTACTCGGACACAATGTCTTGGCACGCATCCAATCTACGCTGACGCAAATTTCACGTACTAGCTGATATTCGTGGACCCAACGTCATTGTATTTTAGCCACCTAAGATTATGAAATTTGTTATAATATATGGTATATAATGCGTGGAGATAGCAGGGTGTCAGCCAGAGTAATATGCCTATCTTTTAAAAGGTGAGAATGTTTTCTTTGACACTTTTTAATTAGACAGCCTATTTGTGAAACACATGCCAATTTTTCCATTGCTTTAGCTATCGCACAGTTGGTTTCTTGAGTCGAGTTTCTGAGAGTAAAACTGGAATTTATCTGGAAATAAAAGTATAACAACCCTAAGAAATATAGTATCATATCGCTACAGCTATTAGTTTTCACCACCGCTTTTGTCATATCTGTTAAGTCTTAGTTCACATGTTGTTTTCACCAGTTGTGCATTACAACTTAGAAAGGGATCCAATCGTGTTGGCACTATAAGGCCTCATTGGCTTTCTTTTCAGCATCTAACTTTAAGCGAGTTAACTTGGTAATTCTACAATGAAGATTCGTCATTCCCTTTAAATGAAGCAGCAATTAATGACTCAATAATACTACCGGTATTGAAAAGTCAAGTCCATTGTTATTTTACACTTCTTAAAGCGTTTTTGAACAGCAGTTATAGACTGAAGCCAATATATTTTGTTGAGAGTTACTAGGATGTACCTTGCTTCATTCCCCGTTTATGTTGAGGGAAACACTAAACTGGCCATACATTTCGAAATAGAATCAAAATATTGAACCAAGTGTATATCGTAATTGAAAATGCGACAAAGATAATCGGTGTGGCTTTAGACATGTTCAATTTTTGATATTTCCTCTGAAACTCAATCTGAAGCTCTGGTATTACTACTGTTATTGCTGCTGATAATTGCGTACTTAATGAGGTATTCATGCAAACATACGCACATCAATTATGCTTATATTCTGAGACAAGTTTTGTCATATGGTTGAGTTAGGTGCGGGAGATCAGAAAGCCAGAAAACAAAGAATATTTGTCTGAATTACTGTGTATGCCACTTTCATTACCGCCAAACTCGAGCCAAAGTGTATCACCTGCAGCCAAATGAACGGCTGCAGAATTGCTGGACTGGTGGTTTGTTCCGCTGTCAGAATCAAAGATCGAAAAGATGAGTTCTTCGTTCTTTTTCAGCTGCACAAAAGGTCTTTTTTGGTCTTGTTGAATGCTGACTGTGAAGAAGTAGACTCCAGGAACAAAGCAAGTGAACACGCCTGATTGCGAATCGTACCCGTCTCCAAAATTGATCATGATGTTGTCAAAGATGAGGATATCACCCTTGTTGCCGTTAAGCGGTAATGTGCGGTAAGCGGTAAATGCGACGGCAGATTGCATTGAGGAATCCCCTGGGTCACCCTTGGGACCGCTTCCACCCTTTTGTCCTTTCTGTCCTCTAGGCCCAGGTCCTCCCTTTAAGCCAGGAAATCCGTCACGACCTGGAGAACCCCTGTCTCCCTTATTACCTGGGAAGCCAATGTCTCCTTTTGGTCCAGCCGCAGGCCAGGGAAAGCTGGAGTCACCTTTTGGGCCAACGTATGCAGGCTCCCCTTTTGGTCCCGGAGGTCCTGCAAAGCCCTGAGGACCACGAGGTCCTCGTTCTCCTGGTTGGCCCCTGGATCCATCTAAGCCAGGAATCCCAGGATCACCTTTTGCTCCAAAGCCAAGGTCACCCTTGGGACCCCGAGGCCCATATTCCCCTGGATACCCAGGAGCACCTTGTTTGCCTCTGTCTCCCTTATATCCCTGGTCACCTTTTGCCCCTTTAAGTCCAGGAAGATTTGTGCCGGTATCTCCTTTTGGGCCTGCTGGTCCTGGGGGGCCATATGGACCAGGGATTCCAGGTATCCCTGGAGTACCTGGATGACCTTGGCAGCAAGTGCATGACCCTTCTTCCTGTGGCGAAGTCTGGGACTCAACTATTGGGGTCACACTGCCATACGCCCCGAATAGAAATGCCAAGGTGACCACAAGGTATTTGCAATCAACCTGAGAGGATAGTAAATTTTTTAAATTACCTCAAATCCATAATTAGCCAAAACGTAGTTATTAACGTACGGTCCCTATTTGATACAACTAAAACTTGAAAATAACGGTCATTAGTCAGGCAATGTCACCATTCAGGTAAGGTAAAACTCGTAACGATTATTTGGTTGGATAAAATACTTCTGCTAACTGCGATTTATTGCCAGTCGATAACTTTAAACACCGCTTGTAAGTAGCACGGACTGCATACCTTAACTATATTACATCTGCTATAATAGTGGTTAACGCACAGTTTTTTCCATGAAGAGTTCTTCTTTGTTACTAACGGTGGCGTCATGCACCAAAGACATGTGTTTGTAGGTGAATTAAAACATGATTGCGTCCATTTGAGTATAAATGTAGCAAACTTCTGCTTCAAAGTAGGTAAACAAATCAAAGTTTCAGACCGCCTTAAGGAGAACTCTTCCAGCAATTTTACCCGATTACATCATGCACGTGCTTTGATTAATTGTGATACTTATAATAAACGAGTGAAAATGTACTTGGGAAGAATATAAAACTCCAACTAAATAGTGAAGTAAAAATGAAAAGGTGTGTACTTACTTGTGAAGCCATTGTGGACCTAAAGCATATGTGAGGTCGACTGCAAACTGTTTGCTTGGAGCCTGAAGTTCATTTTATACCCTTCTTGCGATCAAGGAACATTTCAAGAGGGAATTAGGGATTAATAATGGGAGGCGTGTGTTTCATATGTTTCCGTCTCATGCTTCCCTGGAGGCGTTACCCTTCCTGCCCTTATTACGGAAAAATGCATTATCATAAGAGTGATGTGTCTCTGAATCATAACAATCTGACCTAAATACCAAAGGGTTGGTCTTGAAAAGGAAGCTGGCAAGCTATTGACAAACTTTTATTTAGCACAGAAAGATTAGAATTGTTGCAAAACAGCTACAAAATTATAATAATTGGCCACATCTTTGCTTGAGAAAACTGATTGATTTGGTATAATGTGTAAAATGTCGTTCTTTCGTCGTTGTGAATGAAAAAAATGTTGCAAATCTACTAACATCTTACATTTGTTTAAAATCGACTTTGTACGTTCCCACTTAAAAACACGAATGCACAGCTTCCAACACCAAACGCACACATGATTATGATCATGCGTATATGTCGTTGGTTGCTGAGGACACACAGGGTGTTTCAAAAAGTACACTTCTAGAAAATTGTCTCCAAAATAATTTTTTTTTACTTTCCAGAAATCCTTTATCACATATTGATAGACCTTGGTTTCTTGTTTTGTTTGCCGTCACATCAATTATGAGCCGTTCTGCATGAGTGAACACAGACAATTTACCTTTTCCAGATTTGAATCGGCTTGCATAGAGATGAAAGGGTTGAAACAGAATTACAAACAGCGGTTACAAAGTTTGTGTCCGTGCTTTCTTTCACCCAAATTCGCAAACAAATTCCTTTAAGCTTTAACCCAGATTTGTCCTCATTACCAAAATAACATCAGTATGGCGCAAAAAGGCAATTGTTCGTAGTAATGAATCTTTCACCATGCAGGAGCGCAGGTTACTGATGTGATGCAAATGAAGCAAGAAACCAACGTCCATCGATACATAGTAAAAAGATTTCTGGAAACTAATAAACCTTCCATATCGTGGACAATGTTCTAAATGTGTACTTTTTTAATCAAGATATAGAATCACTGGTTGAGCTGTTTCAATTTAGATTATACTTATAAAAATATTTCGATTGGGGTTGAAAAATGTAAATATCATCAATAGCATTGGCGCATGATTTAAAAGAGGCGTCTTTGAATTTATCTTACAAAAGTATCGAAGAGAAAACTACTTATTTGTCCCAGTACATTACCTGATCAAGCTATTCGCCGAGATTTTGAAGCCAGTTTGAATTAAATTTTAGATATAATTCCTGCAAGATTGGATTTTAACACCTAGCCGAATGTTTCGTTTATTTTTGGTTTTTTCCGCAAGTCTATTTTGTCTCCGATAGAGTGTGTTTTTCAGTAAATATCTTGGCGAATTTATATTATTGCTTGCCTGCACTTGGACGAATACAGCATGAAGTGTGACCAAGTTACTGTATGTCATAGTAATTGCCTACTCTTAGTACAATAGCGACTCATAACTCGCGACTATTAATGACGACTGGTGATCAGTGTTAAGTGCTAAGTGACGTTGAACAGGCCGTAAACCACGATACACCATTTTACAGCTGACCGCATGATATCAAAAAGTTTGTTTTATGTTTTCCTGGAACTAGTGTCATATCAAACTGTGACCCATTTCGCTTTGCAAGTAAGGAAGTGGCCTTTATCTGATTTGGATATAAATCACGCATATCTTAGAGTGAGTTATTTAATTGGAAATAGCCTATAAAATTAATATTAATATTTTGGGGCTTTTATCTTAAGAAACATTAATGACAAAAACGGACGGTTTGATGGAGATCTAACCTTTGCGATATTTTTATGTTCGCACAATAGGGGCAATTCACAAAGTGGGCCTCTTAGAGTTCTTAACATGTTGGCCAGTCACGATGCTCGAAATCGGTCGACCCAATGCGCGTTTGGAAACGGTCAACAGATTGTGTGCGTTGTAAGCAGCCAACGCGTTGCAAACTCTTGTAGACGCACAATTGTGAATCGTCCATATTAAGGTTTTACCTGATCCTTGTCTTCCCAGATCGATCAGTTGCTTAGTCTAACAAATGTTGATGCCGCACTACAGTTCGACTTTAAACTATGGCAAATCAATAAGAAGTTTAGTTTTTCCCCCCAAAAAACCCCTCAGACCTTCTTTGCCTTGTAAACGAGTAACTGTCATCGAATAAAATATTTTTGAACCATTAAAAGTCTTTGTTACAAAAGCAGTTCCCGACACCAGGTTATGCTTATAGATTGAGCGCTTTGATTTAAACTAAAGGAAGTTACAAGGCACTGAAGCCATTCGTGTACAATCTAAAATCCGATGACCCAGAAATGAATCCTTTTATGCACAATGCTTGGATATCCAGGGGTTGGGTTTTAGAGGGAGGAACAGGTACACAACAACTGATTTACTTGATGCCTTTATTAGTTAGAAACTCCTGAATATGCAATAATGCAAATTTTAAGGTACAGATTATACTTTAAATGATACTTTTTTTTACTTTCCAAGGGAATACAGAGGCTGATCCGGTCCACTGTGGCCGACTAAAATGCAAAAACTTCAAAAATGTCAATTTCTCAGCGTATAATTATTTTGCAAACTAAAGACAGTATTTTGAAGCACACCATGCGTTTGTGATGACAACATTTGTTTATTATTATTAAGATGAGTAAACAGGAATAACATAGACATGTAACATGAATAAAGTGAAATAACAAGCCATTGCACATGACTGAGATATATGATATTACACTTTTATTCTTTTTATGTTGCTTTTAAAGTTCCCTTTATTTTTCCGATATTTATTCATTAATTTAGGCCAAACGTAATAAAAGGAAACAACTACATCAATAAGAGACACACACTTACATCCAGAAGGTGAAATTACAAAGCCAGGGATAAATTGAGAGCTGGTAATAAGGCGGCTTATTTCAATGGCGTCCTCAAGAACACAGAAATAAATGGATACAGTTGAAAATATTTCTAAATGTAAGTCCTTTAAAGCAGGGGCTAAGTTTGGGTTACAAGTGGGAGTTAATGAATAGGCAGAGTCGACAGTCACAAGAGTAATATGTACAGTCATAAAAGGCAACCACAGAAATACGCTGCATAATTGGTAAGTTTTTCTTCGACCGATGAAAAAAGTGGCAGATATTAAGGCTTATCCGTTGATCGTGAATGAGAAGCCATTCCTGCCTAGGTGGAGTCTGCGCATTGAATGGCTCTTTGACCAATCCACCCTGATTTGAAGTGGGGCCTGGGCGGCGAAAGAAAGACAGACTGATACGAAATTGTCCAACCAAGTTCTTCCATACTTTCGGCGTGCAAGCGAAGACCATGCACACAAAATGTGTTGTGCTTACTCGGCACGCCCGTCATCAAACGCGCCTAAACTTGCTTTAGGTTGGTACCAAAGGACTGTCCGTTTCATTAAAAAAAAACGCCCGCTTTTGTTCCCGCTCAGATTGGATCGGTGTGGTGGCTCACAGGGCCCAACATCTCAGTAACAGGCAAACATAATCAGCAGCAGGATTCACTTATTTAAAAAAAACCAATAATAATATATCAAGAGAAATTATGAAGCGTACTGAAGGGGTATAACTAAATTAATACAGAAATTGGTTTTCACGTAATTATGAGTCACTTTTTTCCTCTCTAAGGAGGTGAGTTTTCTTGTTCAATCTATGCACGGTATAAAACGAGAAAAGCATTCCTGTAAGAACCATTCGGAAAACTCCAGTAAATTTGTGGTTTTTAGCTCAGAAAGGTTATGACTACATTGTCATATAAGCATTTATTAAATTGTTATATAAGCATTCATTACGTAGATAGTTGCCTCTTCTTACCATCCTCGACACTTAATTGTGGTAAACTGGCCAGGGCTACAAGGTTGTTACTGAAAACGTGAGCTTACATTTCATGAATCAGAAACCCAGAGAACTGAGACAACTTATTATTATTTCCATCAACACCTGCACCATTGTTACGAAATTCGAGCCAGACCCTATCACCCACTCCCAGGACGGTAACAACTGCATTGCTGGGTTGGTGGTGGTAACCGGCATGGTTGTCATAGACACCAAGGATTCTGTATCCATTCTTTTTTAAGTCGGCCCATGGTCGTGTAGTAGACGCCAAACTCGTTAGGCTAACCGTAAAGAAATAAACACCGGAAACTGAACAAGTAAAGACACCCGTTTGGGCATCGTAATCATCTCCAACGTTCGTTTCGACTTCGTTGAAAACGATGTTATCACCTTGGTCACCTTCGAAGCGAATCCCCAAGGAAGCACTGAATGCGACAACGGACGACAATGTCCGTCCCCCAGAGTCCCCTTTCTGCCCCGTAAGTCCAGGAGAACCTTTGAAGCCTCGAGGTCCTTGTTCTCCTTGCTCCCCGGGAAATCCTCGATCACCTTTCGCTCCAAAGCCAAAGTCACCCTTGAGACCTTGAGGTCCCTGTTCCCCCGGTTGTCCCCGCACACCTTGCTTGCCTTGGTCTCCCTTCTGTCCTTGGTCACCTTTTGCCCCTTTAAGTCCAGGCAAGTTTGTGCCGGTATCACCTTTTGGGCCTGCTGGTCCCGGCGGGCCATATGGACCAGGGATTCCAGGTATCCCTGGAGTACCTGGATGACCTTGGCAGCAGGTGCATGACCCTTCTTCCTGTGGCGAAGTCTGGGACTCGACCATTTGTGTCACGCTGCCATGTGCCCCGAGCAGAAGAGCCAAGGTGACCACAAGGTACTTGCAAATGACCTGTCAACGGTTGCAAGTATTCTACGTTAATTTGTAGATAACTGAAGAACTAATTAACCGAAGATATCATCAAACGATCACCATTTGATATAACCAATATTTCAATTACACGCAATTACACGTGATCAACGATTCATTAATCTGAAAACTGTGGTCAATTAATGCGTTTTTACAACGGATATAAATGATAACGGAATAGGTATATCCTGTTCCAAATCGTTGAGAACTTTCCAGTTCTTTTTAGAAGCGCGAACATTTACAAAAAAGATATATTCGCATGGTGCTGCCTCAAACCTACTTGCCACTTTTACCATGAAAACTTCACCTGAGTGCGACACGCGCCCAATTATGTGTGTCAAAGACATTAGCGCAATTAAGAATCAACGCTTGATGGTTCAGATGACGTTCCTCATTTTGCCTTAAGAGGTCGCATATTACGTTTGAAAGCTTTCCAGCCCTAGTGCATATGTTTCGAGTAATTTTGATACTGGGTAATAATATCATACCTGGGTAAAAAAAATGTGCAAAACAGCTCAAACACTTACACTGAACTATTTTGGAAAGAGGTAATTTAGATTCCATAGTTCACACATTATGAAAAAAAGTTAACAAGTATGTGCACTTACGTGTGAAGCCATTGTTGACGAGGAACATATAACATGAAGTTGCTTTTCAAAGTTGATGGCAAACTGTTTGCTGGGAGCATGCAGTGCATTTTATACCCTTTTGTGATCAACGAATGACGCAAGAGGGAATTGGTGATTAATAGGGGGAGGCGTGTGCTCTGGTTTTTTTAATGTGTCTGTACGCCTCATTCTTCCCTGGAGTTCTTCCATATCTCTTCTATTATGCACAATGCACCTTGACCAGACGTACGAGTCCCAGCTGTCATCATCAGAGGCCCAGTCAGGTAATTCGACCTAAATTTCAAAGGGTTCGTCTTGAAAAATGTGCTTGACAAGTTATTGCCAAAAGCTTCAGTTTTCTGTGCCATGTCATAGTGGCATCGGGAGAAGTACCATCATGGGCCATCTTGGTTGTCTTTGGACAAGCAAGGCCGGTCTTTTGGTAAAACTTCGGTTTTCAAAATTCACTCAATTTTCCAGTCTTTCGTTTGTGAAAGAAAAAAGTCAGAGACGGCTCCAAAACAAAAGACAAGTAACATATACCTGCCTCAGTCACAAACATGTCCAACCACACCGTGCAATGGAAATGACAGAATTTCCACAGAAGGACTAGAAGATACGGGTGATTCACAAAAGTGCGCCACCAAGAGTTTGGAACGCGTGGGCCAACCACAACGGGCGAAATCTGTCGACCAAAAATGCGCATTTGGAAAAGGTCGACAGATTTCGGGCGTTGTGATTGGCCAACGCTTTGCAAACTCTTGGTGGTGCACTATTGTGAATCACCTGTATTCATCGAATTTGAAATATGGGTGGAAGTAGTTTTAAGAGCTACAAGGCGCTCTTTTCATTAATTTTCATATCAATCATCAACAAAGCTGAATATGAACCCCCTCCTGAAAGTTTTAAATTAAATATTACTTTGAAATATAATGGGCATTTCCTCTTTCCGTCTCCCATTTCATTAATTTTTCCTCGTTTTCTGTTTAGTGTGTTCACGAGCTTTATTGGCTCCAAAAATTCAGCGGGGCCAACTCATTGGGTCGTATGAATAAAAGTAGCAGTTGCTTTTACTACCATTTTTGAAGCATTTACTTGTGTTTGTATGAGTAATAATGACGCAAACGCTTTTACTTTAGTGCAGTTGCAAAAAAGTAAGTTTTTATTCACACGACCCATTGTCTTCTGCTGTAAACAGGGTATATTTCTTTCAGAATATGCAACAAACTGCTGACTAACGTTTTCATACCTATCTCGTAGGATGGTTTTATAATATATTGAAATGTAATACAGATTTGTTGCCCTTCCTGTAAATGTGTATTTGAATTTGACATAAGATTTGTTTCCTGCTGTTGTGTACGTCCTTATATATACTGGACTTCACTCAATATTGCAGCTGCGTCACTGCACATTATCATTTCACTCAGCGGGCTATAATCCTAACAGAAAAAAAATTTAAAGATAAAATGTGGCATTATCTTATCCAGTTTTGTAAGAAAGGAGTCAACTTCGTGAACCTGTCTTGTAAGTGATTGCTTTCAAATTACGTCAAAATAATCATCCTCAACTAAACAAGATCCCATTCCTCTAGCTCGTGTTCCTTCCCGATCCATGCAAAAGCTAGACGTTGTACACAAAGCATAATACTTTACTGGAGAGGAGGCAATGACGACAATAATTTAAATAAAATGCCAATTATTAAAAAACGCTTTTGGCAAGCACTATCGATAAAAAAGGGTGGCAAAATCGACAGTTTCTTTCATACAAGGGGCTTCATGAATACTACATCCACCCTCCCCCTCCTCAACAGGAGTTAAATTGCCCTTCCGTCCAATCTGATTTTTTTTTTTCAAGTTGCGTGAGTAATGTCCTGGAAATTCCCCGTCGTCCTAGAGAATGACTAATTGCCTGCTCTTGATCAAGCGGATTCCTGGATCAAAGACAATGGTTTTTCAGCCAGCCTGTTGGGTTGCCTGCTGAAAGCCATATAAAATACCTGAAGCAAAATATGCTTTGAAAATTCAAAAGAGGATGTGTCTAGGGAGTTATTCACAGAGCACAATTTAAAAGTCTGTTAATTCACTTCTTAACTATTCACATAGGTACTTGTGTGTTGTTATCAGAGAAAACACTCTATAGTGTAAATCGTAAAATTACCCCCCCAAAAATCATTTCCAGTAAGATATTCGTCAAGAGCTGATAGGTCTATGCTTTTCCGGACATACATGCATAAGGCTTAGGGATACTTAATGCTAGTTCAAAATCATGGAGTAATTGGATAAAGTTGATGGCAAATTTTGTGACCCGCGTACAATTTAGAAAGCCTAATTTGTCGATCATCAACATGAACACTTTTTTAACGAGTTTAGACCTTGACTTATATGTTTTACTCACGGTTCCATGTTGATTTGATTGCAATTTAACATTACCTAGTGCACACCTGTGCGTGCGTTTATCTGCAATTCAAAAATTCAAAAACAGTCTCATGTTAGCAGACACGTTTGAAACACCAACCAAGCATATAGAGGCAAACTCTCAAATGGACAAGTCTATTTTTCACTGTAAGGATATGTTACATACATAAAGCAACAAAGAAAGAAATTAAAGCATGGTCAATTTTCTTGTGGGACTATGAACAATTTTAAGTCAAAAGGATCTGTACAACTGTTGTAACGTTCACTTGAAAGTCTGCGATGAAAACTATAAAATACAGAACCCAGTGCTGGGAGTTTTAAAGATTATATTTGCTTTGCATTTCACAACTGCACATCTTGGCTGACGCCCAAACTGTCACGATGATGAGCCAAAGCTTAATCCTGATCAAATTTTGTTTTTGGAGTCCCCGGCTGCTGTCAAGATCAATAGTCTGGAGGCTTGAGCCTGAAACTCCTACCCAAGGTGACGTGTTTAACACATCGAAAAGAGACAAGCCTGGTCGGGAGCACCGAATCGAAAGTGGGATTCGTTGTCGTCAAAAGAGCACATCGAATTAAATAACTGTCAGTTACTTGCATTCTTCTTTTTTTAATCTAGTTCTGTGAATACGGCAGACTATGATGGTGATGAGGAGGGTCAGATGTGCTAGTTAGAATACCGATTCGTAAGCGGAGTTAAGGGATTGGCCTGCTTCGACATCCCGATAGACCAACTTTTGATGTGGAAATAGAGCATCGTATGCCTTCTGTCGTATCCAGGCGTTGGTAGCTAGGGACCAGGAGGTGAAGTCAAACCCTGGGCTTGGCTTGACGACCTGGAGCCTGTCGGCGCCATCTTTCATCGATTTACGGAGGTCGACTTCGGGCAGTCTACCTGTTGGCCCACATAAAGCGGAAGCACCCATGGGTTCGTAGGCCAGGGTCATCCCGTTGGCAGCACAGGCGCATTTGTTGCACACAGCAGCTGAAGTGTGATGTAGAATGGACGGCGGTGCCGTCTCGAACGCCGAGAGGTTGGTTCGATCTCGTGAGACCTCATCATCCAGAACCGGCGGAAGCGGCCTTGGGCTAATAATTCGTAGCGCCGTCGAAGAGGTTTCACGACCAGAGTAGGGTGAAGTACTGTGCTGCAGGCGCCACATAAAAACGTAGCTAGCGGTTTCTGCCATCTTGCTCAGCAACTGTTGCGTTCAGGTTGATTTCAAAGTTGCACCAATTAAGATAGTCCCATGCACCATGATCTACACAGCACTGATAGTCTTATGGCGCAGCTGCCAAACCGAACTAGATTAAAAACACTGTGAGTGCAAGGTTAAGGCCTTCATATTTATCTTTGAACTAGATAGCCTTACAGGAATAATTCTTGGTTAATGATTGAATAACAATAGGGACAATTCAGGATACACATCCAAAGAGCAATGTCCAGTTTAAAATCTATTCATAATCTGCATGCAGAATAAAGGATACAACGTAGGCCCGCCCTGTACTGTGTGGTGTATTCATAATATTACACATGGGTTAACGTAGCCGTAGAGACTTCAATGATGTCACCGTTTCGAAATGACTGCATGTGACCTTTTACCCAGACATTGGACTAGTACAGCTTGACTCATGAGGCTGGGGAATTCTAAGTTGTGCAGATATGTTTCAACAGCAATTCTGCATGTAGGCCTACTAGCCTGCGGGAACAGAACACAGTTTCTTGAACATCAAATGCTCCGCGTGCTAAGCGCTCCCTCATCGGTTGAAAACTGAGAGCCACGTTGGTCAGGGGTGTTAAATTTGTTGGTAGCGATCGATGCGGCGTACCGTGGCACATGCATAATTTCCTCTAGTTATTCGTGGACCAGCGAAGTTCACTGATCGAGTTCCGACCAAAGGAGCCTTCGTTGCTAAGAAAATAGCCTGAGCCCTTCACTCTCTTGTTCCAGCTCGAAGCCTGCACCCATAGTAGGCCTATCGTTCGAAATCTTAAGACCGTGGACATCGCCAGGATTTCTTCTTGGTGGGGGGAGCGACTTTTTCCCGGGGGAAAACTCCCCGCGATAACGGGTATACGTAAAAAAAGCCTAAAACAGATAAAAAATTATATAACTGTGAATGGGATACATTTGAGTTTCTTTTAATAGTTGATTGCGTGGTGATTTTCTCCACTTTTTTCTTCCCACTTCGCTAGGCCTACTCACCTCTGTTCCTTTATAATTCAGATTGGGGGAGGGAGGGCTGGCGCTCCCTTCGGGACTCCCATGAGCAAGATTTTAATACGGCTGATTGAGTTCAAGCCCGTTTCCCCTGGACGGGCCTGCTCACGGCCGTAGCATTATGGATTTTGGAGGGAAAACTTTCCGCGACCCGGAAACGTCACGACACTCAGTATCATATAAAAAAGCAGCAAAAGGCGTTACACTCACTATGATTGGACAATCATTGGAATGGGGCCTGTCAGAGACCAATCAGAGCCAAAGTAACAAACGCCTTCGTCGCATAGAAATATCGCGCCTTTTTCGAAGCCCAGATGAATTGTTGACGTCGTGAGAAAACAGTCGCAAATATCTGGCTCCAGCGGTTCTCTAGAGCGTCACTTTTTAACAGAAGGTACGTGCAACATATTAAAGGTACTACAGGGGTAGTGAAATGCTGGGAAAAGTGGGAAGTTATGTGATAAGTTGTGACAATTTAGATCGCCATAACATCAGGTTTGCCACATACGCTTCTCCTGCATGCAAAACACAAGTCCAATTTCCGGACACGTTGGTAGGCCCATACTGGCATAGCCACAGGCTTACAAAGTACTTTGAGGCCTACTTGAAAGTATTACAACGTACAAGTAATGACATTTGGTAGAATAAATGTTGCAGCTTCGCCTAAGCCTTTGTCTCATTTCATGTACGCAAGCTCAGAAGACTTTATGTTTAAGTGTATCCTCTGTTTTTTTTTTGTTCTTTCAATGTTTTAAAATTTTCTTTTTAATCTTCATTTAGGCCTATTGGCCTATGACTTTAAATCTTTAATGTTTTTAGTATGTAAATCAAACCACAATTCGACCACTGATAATGATCGCGAGAGTTTGGTGATAAATAAGGGGGGCCTAAATAAAAAAATTATTTGTAAACTTTAAATTTAAAAAGAAAAGACTGAACCTGTGATTAACAGAGGGGAACATGACAACCTTGTGTAACGTTTGGTGAATGGACATGTCACATGATCAGATGATGGATGCATGCGATTGTAGACAATTTGTCATGTTTTTTTCTTGGGAAATGTTCTGTATACGGATGCCAGTAATTACTCCCTACAGTGACCCATTATTAGCCATGGGAAAGCATTTCAAAGCAAAAACATGTCCAGAAAAGTTCAATTTAGGAGGGAAAATAAGTTGTTTACTGAGAAAACACTTAGCATGCTTAGAATTTTTCTGACCAGTCTCATACTTTCATAGCCAGGGTTTGTGCACGTGGTGTCAAGTGGCGTCCGTATATGGAAGTCTTTCCCTGTTCCCCTCTAGCTTTGTTCTCTTACTCGCGCGGGGGCGCTGAAAACAACATGAATGTGGTAATGGAATTGGAATGGGAAATGGCTGAGTGCTGTTGCTTAGGAGACCGCTCAAGTTTTAGTCACAATGCCAATGAATCCACAAAGTGTTCACTTGAGCTTATCCTAGTACCAGTAGTAGGCCCTAAGGCCATGAGGAAATTTTCCATATGTGGACACCACTTGACACCCCGTTCATGAAACCCCTTTGAGACTGGTCTCACCTTACAGTGTGTTTGGTATGCCTCGTAGGCCCAGGGGCTCTCGTTCCCATTTTTATGTGTGTGTGTGTGTGGGGGGGGGGAGGCTCAGTGGATGGAGTGAAGAGAAACCCATGTACTAAGGTTGTAAGCTGTTATATGCTTTCGTATTCTGTGCTTTGATCACAATCTGCCTGCAGGGAGATACTGAAATCATATTCTGATTTGCAGGGTCACAAAAACAAATACAGGCATGGACTCCAAGCGGAAGCCTCCGTCCTCTGCTGGACCAAGCTCCAAAAGAACCCGGATTGACTTTGACGATGATCCGTCCACATTTGAGGAAGAGTTGGCCCTTTTAGAGCAAGTGGAGGCCGAGATGTCTCAGGTGTCCTCAGCAGGCTCACAACAGTCAGCAGGGTCTGGGAGTCAGACAGCGGGGCATATCCCAGGTATGGTGCAAGTCTTTTTTCAGATGTTGACTGAATGAGGTGTAATTGAGAGTCCTAAATTTAAGGCAGTTTAACACTTACAGAGCAAAAGAGAGACCAGTGCATGAAAGGGACCAGCTCTTCACATAACCTGTCTCTAGTCCTTGTGTTTTGTCGTTTGTCAAAAGACTATTTCCAAGCCAGTTTGTCAGAAATGGCTGGAACTCGGTTTTTTGCAACTGAGGGGTTGCATTTCTTGACAGTAACTCAACCGGAGGGCCAGCATCTCAGAACTTTCGGAACTCAAACACGTTACAAGGCCACATTGTCCTGTCTCGAGCGTGGGAGATACATGTATGTAGTACAGATGCTTGTGCAATGATCGTGTGTTGTCTCGTAGAAAATTAAGCTCGCAACATTTCTTTCTGGGTGAAAATTTCGGAATAATTCCCGAATAAGTATGTGAGAAGAACATTAAACTGCAGGGTTATAATGGGTTTTCATGCTCCCAGACCGGCGTTAAAGTCACTGGCCTCGGTCCACTAGTCCAGTTGGCATTTTTAACCTTGCAACCAATCTTTTGCAAAAAAGAACAATTTTCCAGTTCAAGTACGTAGAAAGTCCACAGTGCAGAGTAAGGCTTCCAATCATTGGACAAACAGATGGCCTTTGTTGTTACAAGTAGATTAATGTTGCTTTTCAGCAACGTCCAAGCTGGCTCAGCACTGGAACCCCAAGTGGATCAGACCAGCATGTTCTCCCCCAAATCCAAAGAAAGATGCCGTCGTCTTTCAGCAGATTGACCTGGAGCACTACCTAGGTGAGCAGTGGGCCTCCTAAAGATACTTAAATGCTTGTACCTGTAGCTTCTGAGCTGACATGTAAAAAATGACTTTGGAGCTGTCACATGGTGTCAAACTCCTGAATTGCTTGAACAAGTGGACATTGTTAGTAAAATACTCTCTACAAGATTACCTCTAGAACGTAGGAGTCATTCTTTGAATGAATGTGATGGACAGCCAGTTAACGTCAGATTTTCTTACCTGACAAAGCTGCTGGGGACGGGGGTTATCTTACCCGTAAATTCTTCAACCTTGCAATTACACTTTGACCCAACCAAGCACGACGCGTTAATACATCAACCGTGGAAATGAAACAAGAATTCTTATAGTGTACATGTCCTCCATGGAACAAATGAGGAAAATTATGTGAGTTTACACATCATTCAGTGTCAAGTGATTATTGCTTAAAGAGTGTCAGTTGTGAACCATATCAGTGCATTTTAATGAATCATTGCCCCTTAGAAGTTGTTGATTAATTAAAAAATGTTTTGCCAGTTGTGATTCAGACTGGGTCATGATCCCGGTGTCAAGAAAATTGTAGAAAAAACACTGCCCAGTTATAAAAAAGTCAGCTGACCCACTGCTTTAGGCTGACGTCATAGTTCTTGTCCTTGCAGGCAGTCCACTCAAAGGCATGCCAGGGTCATCTGTTGGCCCCGTGCCCATCATCCGTGTCTTTGGTATCACCATGGAAGGTCACAGCATCATGTGTCACATCCACGGCTTTGCGCCTTATTTCTATGTCCCGGCCCCCGAGAATTTCCAGCCGGAGCACTGCCGCAATTTCAAGGACGCCCTCAATCAGGCGGTGATCGGCGACATGCGGTCCAACAAGGACAACCTCTCACAGGCTGTGCTGGCCGTTGAACCGGTCGTGAAAGAAAGTAAGAGGCCACGTCCAAATGTCAATATTTGAGCCAGTGACATAACATTTTACAGGCGTGAGGTTTTTTGGGATTTCCAGGTTTTTCAAAAATCCGGTGTTGGTTTATGGATTTTTTGGTTGAAAACTTTTGGTAGACCAACACCCTAGATAACACTCACTCCCCAGGACGTAGGTTCTCCTATACCCGAAACCCAAACCAACTCACTCCAGAGGTGTAAGGGTCTTCTCTACCTCTAAGCCAACACCCCTCTCCCCCGGTGGTAAGGGTACCCTATACCCCAAACCAAGTTTCTTGCCAATTCTGTGTTCCCAAACGACCATGTGATGCAATACCTTTGTGCTTCAGTGCATGCATAGCAAGCCATCCACTCCTCGGATCCCGTCCCACACTCCACTGCCTCCAGCTTATGTTTGTAACCCAGCTCTCCACTCGAGTCCGGCACAATCTCCTGAGGACGGCCAGAGCATCCTGGCTGAAACGTCGAGTTAATACTCACGGGTCCTTCTTAGAACCCCACATCTCTTCTGAAGAGATTGATGCCGTGGTGTACCCCCAAACTTACATCTCATTTACCATGTTTACGTACATACGTGCATATGTCCATGTTCAGTAATACCAACTGAAAGTCGTGGATTTTTTCGTTGTGGCCTTGTCTCACCCTTGATTTTAAAGGTCAAAAGTATTTTGCCAGCTTTCTGTTTGTAATTCCTAGTTAAAAAAATTTAATTTTGCAGGTATCTACGGTTACCATGGTCCAGATGGAAAGAGAAAGTTCTTGAAGATAACCGTAGCTTACCCTAAGCTAATTGCTCCAGCCAAACGCCTTCTAGAATCAGGCTTCACTGTTCCCAACCTCTACCCAGTCAGGGGTTATCAGACATATGAGAGCAACATCGACTTTGAAATTAGGTGAGAAATTAGGGTTAAAATCAATTAATGTGAAAGTGAGTCATTCTATAAATTTGGGTCCAAAAGTGAGACATTTTCGTGTCCCTGTTACACCAGACCTGTGTAATTTGACATGGAAATATCACTGAAATTGATTTCAAACTATTTCTGTTTGTTTGGCAGGTAATTGGCATTAATTCATCTCGCTTGGAAATTAGAGAATGGGCTCTAAACTGTCTCAGATGTTGCAGGGACATTATAAAAATTGGGACACCGAATTTATAGAAGGACCCATACTCAAGTTTCAATGATGGCATACTCTAATCACCACTCTGGTTCATTTTTTCAATATTTGATGTCGGTGGATGGAAGGTTGTGGCTCAGCTGCTGTACACCAAACACATTTGTTGTAATAGTTTCTAATCTGAGTTCTCATTGGAAATTGGTCGTGTACCCCACACCGTTTAGTTTTGCTTTAAATTAAGGGCTTGCTGCTTAAGGTTTGAGGTTAAAAATGCATTTAAGTCAAATAAAAATCACCTTCAGAATACAGTGCGTTTTCAGATGCGCTTTCTTATTGTACACTTGCATTGGTTCTACTTACTCAAAGTGTTGGCATTCTAGGGGCACTTTTTCGGGAATAGTTTTGTTTTGGTACCAGTGAGTCTTTTAAGAATCTAAACTCTTGTAATTGTGATATGAAACATAATCTACCGCTAGATTCATGATTGACACGGATGTCTTGGGCTGTAACTGGCTGGAAATCCCAGCCAATCAGTACCATCTGCGTGCCGAGGGTACCATCCCTGCTCCCGTCTCACAGTGTCAGATTGAACTGGACGTGGCTTACGATTGTTTCATCAGCCACCCAGCCGACGGCGACTGGCAGAAGGTTGCGCCTTTCCGAATCCTCAGCTTTGACATTGAGTGTGCCGGCAGGCGAGGTTTGTGAAAACCTTTATGAGATCGGACTGTAGCTGTGATTTAACCTGTCGTACAACATCTCCACAGCTCTTACAGTTACTAGAAAATTAAAAAAAAAAAATTTCCTGCTCATCCCTGGAGCCTTCAGTGGCCTGTACTACATATAAACAGAATCTCGTGAGTTTTGAGTTGCTCGTAAGTGATAATATCTGTCAGAGAATTACTGGAGTATGAGTAATGTGGCACGAGGCAAATTGTAATTGAAATTGAGTTCTGCAGCTCGCTGAAAGGCACTTCCAAATCTTTCCCACTTTCTTTTTCTCACTTCTAGGAGTATTTCCAGAACCCAACAAGGATTCTGTAATCCAGATCTCTAACATGGTCATCAGGCAAGGCGAGAGGGATCCTTTTATTCGTAACGTCTTCACGCTGAACACCTGCGCACCCATTGTGGGCTCGCAAGTTCTGTCCTTCAGCAATGAAGCTGACATGCTCAAGGTAAGCAAAGCGGAACACAGTGCTGTTGTCAGACTTGTTTACGAGGCCAATCAATTTGAAGAGAATTTCAGACTACGTAGGTTCTGCAAGATTGCACCCCAGAGGAACTTGGAACAGTTGGTTTTGGCACCTGCATTGAAAACAGGCAGAACCAGTAAGACACTGACTCTCTATTAAACCTTTCTTCGTAGGCGTGGTCCGAATTTGTCAACACAGTCGACCCAGACATCTTGACGGGTTATAACATTGTGAACTTTGACCTGCCCTATCTGCTCAACCGTGCTGCTGCCCTCAAGGTTGCTTCATTTCCATTGTTAGCACGCATCAAAGATTCTCGTAGCGTCATCAAGGAATCCACCTTCCAGTCCAAGCAGATGGGTAAACGAGAGAACAAAGTCATCAACATCGAAGGACGAGTACAGTTTGATCTTCTGCAGGTGAGGTATTCTCTGTCTGATTCCTACTGTCGCTTTTTCTTGGTTGAAAGAGGGGGTTGTTGACGTCGTAATGCCAAGTTAAGCCTAAAAACGCTCGGTTATTTTGGCCAACCTCACAGCTGGGGTGGGGGGGGGGGCAGATTTCTCCCCAGAACTCAGTTGTGCCTCTTTCCATTTTTTGGAAACTTGGCATGCATGTAAAGACTTTCTTTGTCATTACAAATGTGAAGTTTGAACTCAATTGAACGTATAGTTTTGTTGTTAGGGTCATTTGAAGGTCAGGGCTACATGCATGCCAACCTGGGTGCATTGAGCACTGCCATGTAAAAGTATACATTTTTGGCTGACCGGTCTCAGAAAAATGACTGAAGAGTTACTCTTAAAACTCCTAAAGGCTTAACTCCTGTACAAAACTGTACTGCGGCAATATCTACCGGGAATTCCACCCCCCCGGGTCGTTTGATTTGATTTTTGTTGGCATGCTGAGCAGGGCTGACAGGGAATATCGTAATGTGTTTATTAATTTACTAGTTTCCTGTTTCTGTGTGGTGATCTGCAGATCCTTCAGCGAGACTACAAGCTGCGTTCTTACCGCCTCAACGCTGTCAGTTACCACTTCCTCCAAGAGCAGAAAGAAGATGTGCAGCACTCCATCATTACTGATCTCCAGGTGAGGGAACTTGCCAAGTTGAAGGGCCTGGAGTGTGCTGTGCTTGGTGAAAAATATTTGGAATGTCGCAAAGCCTATTTGAAGTCTTATGGACACAGCAGGAGGGCGCTACATGGTTTGGGTGTTATCTTTTGTGTTTTAGGTTACCCACTTTAAATAGCGCCCTCATTGTGTGTCCACCATACTTCAAATAGGCTAATCAGCAACCTGTTCAGGTTCGAAGCACGTTTGGAAAAAGGCAGCATTGTGGCTTAGGCCGGCGTAAGTCCCTCCGAGTCATGTGACTGGACTCATGAAATGACTTGCGATTGACTTTAATGCAACACTTATAAAAGCTTCAAAACACCTGTTAATTTCGGCTTTGCTTTTTTTTTCTGTCACTCTGTTGAGTAGCACAGGGACTGGAGAGAACAGCTTTGTCAGAGAGACCACTCTAATTTGGTTATTGGTTGATCCTTACCATCTGTGTATAATATCGGTGATTTATTTGTATTCTTAGAATGGAAACGACCAGACCAGACGACGCTTGGCCGTCTATTGTCTCAAAGATGCCATGCTGCCATTGCGTCTTCTTGACAAGCTCATGTGCATCATTAACTACATGGAAATGGCCAGAGTCACTGGTGTTCCCTTGCCGTATTTGCTCATACGGGGGCAGCAGATCAAAGTGGTGTCGCAGCTCTTAAGAAAGGTTGGTCGGGAGTGAAATCAAAATAAAGGAACGAGGCTGAGTGATGTTGATTCTTGTAGTTAATATAAATGGCAATGGATGAAATTCGGATTCAGGATTTTTTTTTTGGCATCGCATGTGTTTTTGTTTAACAGTTTGTGTTATGGGTTTTCTGATCCTAGTTTTGTTTTCAGTTGACCGTTTGTTCATAGTTTTGGTTATAGTTTAACCATCTGATTATGGTTTTGGTTGTAGTTTAAGCATTTGATCATAGTTTTTGTTATAGTTTAACTCTCTGATTATGGTTTTGGTCATGATAATTAATTCTTTTCGTTGTTGTAATTTCAGGCCAAGGAGCAAGATCTGGTCATGCCAGCACGCAAAGTAGAAACCGGAGAAGACTACACAGGGGGTTACGTCATCGACCCAACCAGAGGGTATGTGTCGTGGAATCTGTGCACTGCCAATAGAGGGCGCTCTTCACTCTGACAATGAAGGGAATGGAGGAGATAAACATTTGGCTAGTTCATGAAGACTTTGCATCTGCAAACGTTTGAGGTTGCGCACCTTGTTTGGTAGAATTCTGCTTTCTATCTCGTCTACAGGATCAGAACATGGGGGATGGGCGTCACTTTGTCTGCCTCTGAATTCAGTGACAATGATCAAATGCTTTCTGGCCTTGTTTTTTGGTTTCTTGAGTGATCTTGTTTAGAGAAGACGTTGTCTGTCTCCCTTGTAGATACTATAAGATTCCGATAGCGACGCTAGATTTCTCTTCCCTGTATCCGTCGATCATGCAAGCCCACAACCTGTGCTACACATCGCTACTGTCTCCTGGTCAAAGAGAGAAGTAAGACAACTTCTTGGTGAACTTTTAGTTACGGGTTTTGCCCTAACGTGATGTGTATTCATAAACACTGTATACTCAGTGCTTGTCCGGGAGCTTGTGAAAAAATTCACAAGCTTACTCGGGTGTGAGGTGAACCCACAACCTCCTGCTTACTAGTGTGGATGCTAGGGCAAAACCCTTAATCAGTATTAACGTCTTCCTGATGCAAAGTACTTCTTTGTGAAGCTCCAAGAGCATGGGGGAACTTTAGGAAACTTTGACAGAGCTGCTGACCATAAAACTTTGCTGTATGCTTTGTAAACATTGATTGCTAGCTATTGATGTCTTAGGAATGCAAGGTATATAAGTTTAGACGGGGTGAATGATTTTGACTTGAATCATTTGATCTCGTGCCACAGGATGTCTGCTGATGAGTACATCAAGACACCTTCTGGAAACTACTTTGTCAAGAGCTCCGTTCGCAAGGGTATCCTCCCGGAAATCTTGGAAGATCTTCTCAGTGCCCGAAAAAGGTCAGGAGGAACCTTGTTGAAATTTATCCGAGATCATGTGATCTGATCTAGCTAATCATATGACACAGATGGGAGGCATTAAGGACTGTTGAAAAACTTGTAAAGTTAAAGCGTTTTCTCGTATAGTGGAGAGATTTTCCTTAGAGTGGTCGGAGTGGTTTGATTTTGAGGACAAAATGAAATATCTTCCCGCTTGTTACCCCAACAGGTGTAGATCAGTACTCTAGTACTAATCTCATGTTTATATTCATTTTTCTATTGCTCTTCTATTAATTCCTTCACGATAAAGTGCACAGGAAAACCGAAACAAAAAGAATTAAGATCAAGGAGTTACTGTTCCTTTGGACTTGGTTGCATTTGGCAGGGCCAAAGCTGACTTGAAGAAGGAGACGGACCCCTTGAGGAAGAAGGTGTTAGACGGGCGTCAGCTGGCCCTCAAACTCAGCGCCAACTCGGTGTATGGATTTACAGGGGCACAGGTTGGCAAATTACCTTGCCTGGAGATCTCTCAGGTATACTTTCTGTTTGCCTGCCAGCTTGTGTTGGTTCTGTCGTGTCGCCGAGTTTTCACAGAAGAAATTGTTTATGCCCAAGCTTTCGGAGCAACCATATGAGGGAACTCCAAACTGTTATTGCTAGGTTCTCTAAGGCTGCACTGGAGGTTAGATTTTACTTTTCTCTTGACGTCCAAAAAACAACCTCTCCAAATTTTACTGGCTTAGTTTGGTTTTCAGAAAAGGAGTTTTTTGCATGTTAGGTTTTAGTGGATTTTTATGAAACAAGAATTGTCAATGGTACACATTCTGACACAAATCTCTGTGGCCTGTTTTATATTTGACTTCATTTTATGCAGAGCGTGACAGCATTTGGTCGCACAATGATTGAAAGGACACGACAACTTGTGGAAGAAAATTACACCATAGAGAGAGGGTACAAACACAATGCAGAGGTAGGAAATATATGTAAAGGCTAAATGTAGATATATTTGATATTGACCAGGGTGGTTATGGCAGAGTTGTGGATATCTATTATATTGACCACAGGTTGGTTATGGCTGAGTTGTGGATATATTGACCACAGGTTGGTTATGGCAGAGTTGTGGATATATTGACCACAGGTTGGTTATGGCTGAGTTAAGGATATATTGACCACAGGTTGGTTATGGCAGAGTTGTGGATATATTGACCACAGGTTGGTTATGGCTGAGTTGTGGATATATTGACCATAGGGTGGTTATGGCAGAGTTGTGGATATCTATTATATTGACCACAGGTTGGTTATGGCTGAGTTGTGGATATATATTATATTGACCACAGGTTGGTTATGGCTGAGTTGTGGATATGTTGACCAGGGTGGTTATGGCAGAGTTGTGGATATATTGACCAGGGTGGTTATGGCAGAGTTGTGAATGTACTTTATATCGACCTCAGGTTGGTTATGGCTAGTAAGTTATGGCTATTAAGTTGTGGATATGTTTTATATTGACCACAGTTGTAACAAACTACTATTATAATCCCACTTTCTTGTATGGGTATATTTTTCTTTGTCTCTTCCATTCCTCTTGTAGTCCTGGTCATAACAAAATTATTTATCTGGTCCCTGCACCTTTGTTGTGTTGACAAGATAGTCACCTATTTATATTCACCACAAACACTTGTAGCTGAGCAGTCAATATATTTGATGCCGTCTGCTGTTGAGCACTGCAGAGTGTCATATCTTCCACTGTTACTGTTGCAGGTGATCTATGGTGACACCGATTCTGTCATGGTCAAGTTTGGAGTTGATACTGTAGCCGAGAGCATGGCCCTAGGCAAAGAGGCTGCCGAAATGGTCTCCGGTACCTTCCCTCATCCAATCAAACTGGAGTTTGAAAAGGTCAGCTGATACATTTTTTTCGTATGGAAATTTTGTCCAGGTTGTAAACATTTGTCAGATTGCTTTAGCCCGGAAGAGTCATGGCATTTCATAAGGCCTAGAAGAGTAGACTGGAAATATTGGAAATGAACTGTCAAGAAAAATCAGCTTGGAATTTTGCGCTACCTATGAAAGATGTTATTGCTTTGTTTGCCGTTTTTGTGTCTGCCAAGCACGTTTCACAGAACAAGTCGGACAAATGTTCATCTCAGTTTGGGATTTTCATTATCTAGTCACGAAAAAAGCCTTTAGCGGTCATGGCTTTTTATTGTAAAAGATGCAAGGTGTTGAGTTGGTTGCTTCACATAATCAGCACTCACCCACTTATTCCCTGCTGTCGGGCCAAAAGGGACCTTTGCTCGATGTGGTTGGTCAAATCGGTGACCTGGTATACACCCCTGTCCAAAGGGGGGTGACTCTGCCAGTCACTTTTGGGGCGAGTTGCGTGGCATTCGTGTGGACTGGTGCTCGAGCGACGGAAAGTCTCTTTTTTTTAAGAGTCGGTCAGTTAATTACCGTCACTGCACGGTTGATAAACAGATGATGTGAAGAACAATTCTTCTCAAACAATTAACAAAATATGTAGTGACCAAAGCTGGCGAATCTAGGTTGAAGATGTAGGAAAATTCCAGGGAGAAAACACGCGAAAACAATATGGCAAAGAAGGGAAGTCATTTGCATAAATGTTCGTTTGTTGGTGTGACCTCTATAGGTCAAGGGTCGCTACAAAGGGTCGTAAGGTTGACACTATGGCAAATTTATTTGAATATTGGTTCTTTTTTCTTTCCTGACAGGTGTACTTTCCCTATCTGTTGATTAACAAGAAGAGGTACGCTGGTCTGTTTTACTCCAGACCAGACACCTATGACAAGATGGACTGTAAGGGGATTGAGACGGTCCGACGTGACAACTGCCCTCTAGTGGCCAACCTGATCAATTCCTGCCTAAAGAAAATTCTCATTGACAGGTGCGATACAAGACTGATAACTTTATCTCCTTTTAAGACAGGGAACATTTTGGCGGTATAGCTAGGTTTGTTGTATTATTTCTACATGGTGCAAACAGGACACAATTTAAACTGTAGATTTTGAAATACACCTTATAACAAAGAAGTACCTAGAATTTGGTAGAAGCCCGTTGAAACTGAGATTTCCTTATCTACTCAAGCCATACACCGCCCTCTGTAGTGTGTGAACAAACCCAATAGAGTTTTTTTATTTTTACTTCAGGGATCCGGAGGGAGCTGTAGACCATGCTAAGCAGACAATCTCGGACCTCCTCTGCAATCGAATTGACATCTCTCAGCTAGTAATCACCAAAGAGTTGACCAAAACGGGTGATGAATACGCCGGCAAACAGGCACACGTCGAGCTGGCTGAGAGGTAGCTCGACTCTTTATTGCAGTTTCTGAATCAAATATTCTTTCTCGGCACTTTGGGTAATCTAGAGTTGGAAGGCAGCTAAGACATCAAACGTTACCTGAGTACACACTGATTGTTTGTTTGACTGTTTGCAGAATGAGGAAACGTGATCCAGGCAGCGCCCCGGCCTTAGGAGACAGAGTGCCTTATGTTATCATTGCAGGAGCCAAGGGAGCAGCTGCTTACGAAAAGTCTGAGGTAGGTGCTTTGCCCATGGGCTTCTTGGGCTATGGCTATGGCTGTTGGCTTACAGCCCAATTAAATGCAGCTTTTGACTCAAGATCAGAAAGTAACCTTTCATTCCTACGGTACTTTCATATTTGACTCTGCGGATAAGTTTGATATAACACCGTAATAGCAATAAAAGAGGAGTCAGGTTGGTGTAGTGGCTCTTTCCTCGCCTTCCACCTCTGCGGCCGTGGGTTCGAATCCCACCCAGGTCAGCATGTCATTGTGGATTGCCTTTTCAGTCCCTGCCTGATTCTGTGGGTTTATCTCAGGATTTTCTCCCACCTCTGAAACTGAACATTTCTTCATTGTCTCCTTAAATAAGCCTTTTGCGAGTTAACTTTGACCCAAATCTGGTAGACTGAGTTCTTTAAATTCACGAGAGGATAATAATTGGAATTCTCCATACTGAAGCCACTGTTGATATACTTCGTGATTCGCCTTACAACAATGCACTGTTCTAAATGGAAAAGAAGGGCACAAAGGAACCAGTCCATTCCAGAGATGGTGGTCGCTATGCAAAAGCTTGCCCCAAATCACGAGGTATAGCAACAGTGTCTCTAGTCCAGGGAATTCAAATCGTTATGTTTATGTACAGTCAGATAACTCAGTGCACCAGATTTTATTCAAATTTAACTCGCAAATGGCTTATTGTCACTTTATCCTGTACTTGGCACTAAATGTGCTGTTGAATGAACAAATATAAGTAAATAAAACAATATTTCTGTGCTGTCCCTGTTGCTTCTGAAAATGGTTCCCCTGGTTTTGTTGTAGGTTTGGTTTTCATGGTCTTGTGGTCTTTGGTTTTTTAGGATCCCATCTACGTGTTGGAAAACAACATCCCCATAGACACGCGCTATTACCTTGACAACCAGCTCAAGATGCCTCTGCTCAGGATTTTTGAACCTGTAGTTGGTGAACACAAAGCAACTGATATGCTCTTCAGTAAGTTCCAAGATTCCACTTCTTGTAGTGGGCATTCATTGAAATGATAGGGAATGTAACTCTTCGGTTCAGTCTAATCATTTCTAATAATCTCTTTCGATGACATCTTGTGAACATTTGTTTTGATGAAGTACACTTCTCAAAAAAAAAGTTAAGGACCACTTTTCATTTTCGTGGATACTTTTTTATGAGAGATACTTGACTGCAGAAAATGTGTATTTGATGTTTTGAAACATTTTTAGAAATTGTTTATACCAATGAGAATACATCTAGACAAAAAAGGAAAGAACTAGACCCCACTCATTGCTCAGAAAAAAAATTACAAGTTAAAAAAAAATGGTTCTTAACTTTTGGTGGTGTATTTAAATAAAATGTAAATTGTTTATGGTCACTTTTATTACTGGAAAAGATCGTCTTCGAAATTTTATAACATAGAAAATGGTTTTATTGTAGAAATGGGAAAATGTGCTCACTTCATCGGTAGAAACATTTCACTTTTTGTTCATGACATGTATGCGTCCATTGCAATATTGATGGTTTTGTTTGGTCTTCAGAAGGGGAACATACCCTGACAAAAACCAAAGTCACGTCCAAGGTTGGTGGTCTGATGGCATTCACCAAGAAACGCAGCACTTGCATCGGTTGCAAGACACCGCTAGATAAAGACAACTCCTCTGTCTGTAAACACTGCAAGAGCATCGAGACAGAAATCTATCAGAAGGAGGTACAGTCATTGGCTGTCAAAAGTAGCACCGTAGGCTTCGGGATCTAATTTACAGAATTATTGAAAATGATTTCATTTTCTCTATTGCCTATGCTGTTGTCTTAGCTATTAAATTATGTCAAAATTTGATGTTTCTGAGAATACTGAAGATCAAAGTTAACTTGGCTCTGAAAGATGAGACTTGTAGCTGCAACATCTGGTTTATAGCACCTGCAGTCCATCAATTTGCACCCCCCTCTTCCCACCAAATTGTAACTGACTTCATCTCGTCCAGGTTATCCATTTGAGTGCTTTGGAGGAGAAGTTTGGACGCTTATGGACGCAGTGCCAAAGGTGCCAGGGGAGTTTACATGAAGACATCTTGTGCACCAGGTATGCTGGGAGTTTCTTAGCTGCGAAATTTCCTGCTTGGACACAGGTTGGCTTTTCTGGGACTGCTGAAAAGCTTATCTCCAGATCCCTAACAGTCCTAAGTCCTCCGATTTCAATATGATTTTACATACACCCTAGGGGGTTGGGGTTAATGAAGAGTGTACAGTAATCAAATGCATTGTTCTCGTAAAAGTCATGTGACCTGGAATTTATTTTTCCATAAAAATAGTAAACATGTGACTTTCGCCCATTTTTTATGGAAAAGGTATGGACGTGAAATGTCTCAGATGAGATGTAATTTTCATATCAAATTTGATGGGCGCAAGCATAAAGTGTCTGGCGGTCACTGTGGTTGGACTTGAAAGAAGCATCTCTTTCAGCATTGCTCAAGTTTGGGATCATTGTTTGTTTGCAGTCGTGATTGTCCGATTTTTTACATGAGGAAGAAAGTGCAGAAGGACTTAGCTGACCAAGACGCTATCATCAAGCGGTTTGGGCTGCCTGTCTGGTGAGGCTTGGAAACTTGAAGGTGAGCTTGGAACCAAACCCAAAAAAGGCACAACTAAAACCAGGTGATCTTGCCAACATTTGTGGTTATCTCGTTCTGTGGCTCTTTAATGCGAGTCAGGAGTTGCCTCAAATGTTACCGAGATGGAGGATGCTTTGCCACAGAGTTGATTTAAAGTGTCAGTTTCGAGGGTAAAAACGATCAAAAATTGAAAAATAAGCTTAAGAAGCCAAAGAGACTGGCATCGTGTTTTCTGTGATCAGTGTAAGGCCGTGTTTGTTTCAGATGGTTTATGGACGCCAAAACCTGCGTAAGTGGCGGGTGCCAACCAGCGTCAGGATCACTGATAGATTTATGTGAAACAATTCAGGCCTTAAAAGATGCTTGTTGAGCATTGTTTATGACAGGGTGTGACATGATCAATAACACTGTCGGGATTTATACCCACTGAATCTTGGGTCATGTCAAACACCTTTGACCCTAGCTGCTCAAAGGATATCTTTGGCATTTGTTGATGAAAGTATTAGAAGTCTAGCTATATGCCAGTTATATTTTGATGGAATTTTGCAGGAAGAATTATGTAAAGTAACCTAGTTTGGAAACTTATGAGAGGAGCTTCCTCACTGCCTTTGACAAATTAATTGGCTCTTAAACTGTCTTCAGTTCAGTTGAGTTTATGTTCTACTTTTTCTTTGCTTTGTGTTAAATTTTTGTTTTTCTATGAGCCATATCTAAATTAGTCTTGTGGAAGAGTTGATAATTGTTAGTTTTGTAGATGACTGTGGTTGGTACCGTTTCTACTTGGGGGCAGAGGGCATGACCTTTTTGTCATCAAATGTCAAACACAGAGACTTGCAAACAAGACTTTCATTGTTGTTTTTCATATATATATCCAACAAGTCCTTGCTATCCCACAAAACATGACCGGTGTGTAGGGTTAAGTGCCTTGTCACCTTCATAGTTTGCAATATCAGGATAGACATCCCTTCACCTGATACCTGGCAGAATTATGATCAAGTCATCACAAGTCTGTTCCGGGTCAACCAATCACAGGTCAGGTGACAAGGTGTTCGCATGAACCGTGATAGCAGCAATGCCTGATTTACTCCCTGTCATTTTGACTTGTGACAAGCTCAGTGGCAATGATCCGACAGTTACACACCTTCACGTTCCCACGCTGTGTTGCTGATGTAAGTGTATACACGAAGCGCTTCTTGACCTCGAGGTCAACAAACTCTAGCACAGACGGGGTTCACGGCCGTTAAATCTCAGGACTGTAAACCAGTTGTAGCGCCCTCTCTTGGCTTGCTAGAGTTATTAAACTCTGTTCAGGGTGTAGTGTTCATTTATTCTTCCCATCTCGAAGTCTGTTTATTATTTTCGCTTATACGCCCGTGCATCAGTGACAGTGCTGGCTGAAAAATTGTTATTATTTTTGTTTATTCTTTTGACTATCAATCTTGGTATTTGTGGAACTTTATTTACATTTGACATTATGTACTGCTCATGTACGTGTACTATGCAAATGTAAATTTAATTACATTGTATGTTGTTGTACACATGTATATAAAAACAGTAAGCAACTATCGCAGTACCTGTTTACAGTGTGTTAAGCACATTCATACATGTACCTGTACTTGCTTAGCAAAATAATACAGCTTAGCAGAAACGGTCATGGTGAATACATGTATTTCATTTATCTTTTGTTTGTATTCAAAGCTTATTTGGTTTAAAGTAATGGAGCCTATCGTTCAGCAATAATAATTTGAAAATTTCCATGGAAATCATTGTGTTGTTTTGTTATTGTTTGGTGTTTGGATTCATATGTAGAATCAAGCCCCTTTATACAGTTGAATCAGATTGAGGTTTGTCGCCAAATAGCTGGCTCTGGCTAACGGCGACACATGTCTATGGCAAGTGGATTCCGTCACAATGCAATGGCTTATGTAAGCATGTGCTTACTTCCAGCCAAAGCCACAACTTTTGGGTGCAGCCTTGGTGACCACACCTTGCTGTGTGAGGTTGTGCAGCGCCCCCAGTAGTGATTGCACAGAGGGGATAGCATTATTGCGATTACCTACAACTAGTAGTTTCTCCTGCTGAATTGTAGAGAATTGTTTCTCGCAGATGTCACCTCGGTGGTAAGCCATCATTGTCTTCATTGGTATTTTAATCCAATGTGTTTTTGAGTTGACTCCTGAAAGGTAATATCCCATCATCCTCTTCTGCCCTCAAACCATTGTTTGCCACCCAATCAGAGTAAAGATATTGAAATGATTACTTGGAATATACAGTCTTGCAGCCTCCCTATTGGTCAGTCTGCACAGGTATCAGCTCACACTGTTGATTTTTTTTAGGGTGGGGGAGGCAGGCCTTGGATATCAATTGTTTTCCTACGTTTTGGTCAGATGTGTTGCAATTTTACATTGTCATGTCATTGGTCAGCTACGGTTCCTATTTTGGCATTTCATTTGGCCGGTCATCTGTGTTTACTTCAAAGACTCTTTGCCTGTGGTCACATACCAGTTCAGAATTTCTTTTTGTTAAAAAGATCAAGCATTAATTGCGCAGGTAAAAAGTTTTTAAAATCCTTTTAGGCCTGTAGTTATAAAAGTAAGACCTCCTTTCAATGTAACAGCTTGAATGTAAGCTGTGTTTTTCTGCAATTAAGAGGGTCATTCATATTGATTTCCTGAAGTCAGAGGCCATGTATTGTCTCTCTTTCAGACGCTGGCTTGAATATGCTTTGTTTTTGTTGGCATTTGTGTCCATTTTGTGTTGTTTCATTCCAGTCTGTGGTGATTTTTTAGTGTGAGAGGGTATTGCGTAGGCGGACAGACGTCATCAACCCTCCAGTGATTGTGTCTGAGAAGCGTTAGCTGCATTATTTGCGAGACAGTGTGATTCGTTTCTTGTCTTTATGAGTGGATTATTCATTGTCACCCTATCGTAGAGTACTCTATTATTCCTTTGGCCAATGATGAACTCCAGTACAAACAAACTACATCTCTCCTGTGTTTTTATTGGTCAGTGCGGTCTTGAACAAGTAGGCATTTAATCCTTGTGTTTTTCTGTGATAAGCTGGGCCTTTGGTTTCTTTTCTCCCAAGCCGGTGGGAGGTCAGAAGTTATCGCCTTATCATTAAGTGACAGTAATTATGGCGATTGTCGGAGATAAGTGTCATTGTTCTCAGCAAGGTCATCCCCATCAACTTCTGTCTTTGTCATGATGGTGGCACAAACAAGTACGACCCTTGAGAGCTTGTAAACATCTTCAGGAATGTTTTTTTTTTAATTTGAAATCTTGAGATGGGAAAAGTTGCAAGCGGGGCATTACACAACAATGCTCCAAACCCATAAAAATAGATTTTATAGTGTTATGATCGGCTCAGCCAAAGTGGGATGTAAAATGTGTCTGTTGTTTAAACTGTTCCTTGCTGTGTGGGTTGTTCTAAGTTTCTATGGATTTCTGCAACACTTCCCAGAAATTGTCTGCCTTTTTTGCAAGACGTAATTGTCAAAGATACTGCATGTAAAAAAGGAAGATCAAATGTTTGTTGAAATTAAGAGCACTAATTCCTGGGAAAGTGTGTTGAAAACAAAAATGTGAATCCTATTAAACAGGGTAAAACAGAAACCCGCAAGTAAATTGATAATTCCGCCAGTCTTGTGATATTTGTGAAGAAATGTCTGAGCCTTTATGATGCTGCAAAAACTTAAATCTGTGAGAGTTTTGTTGGAAGGATACGCTAACGTTTGCTGAAGTGACGACTACCCAGTTTTTTGCAATTGGGTTATGACATGTAGCTATGGTTAAGTGGATTTTCGTGAACTGTCTTATGTAGGACTTAACTGAAGGTTCCAAATGGATTCAACATGGAAATTCTTAGACCTTGGCTAAAATGTGTGAAGATTCCCACCAGTTTTGTAGTTTTAGTGAAATGACGGCAAGGGGGAGCCAGGTTGGTGCAGTGCTTCTTTCCTTGCCTTCCGCCTCTACGGTCCAGGTTTGAATCCCGGCTCAGTGTGAGTTTTAACCAGTTCCTCTGGGGTTTTCCTCCCACCTCTAAACCTTTAACTTCTTCTCATTGTCTCCTCTCTACAAGCTGGTGGAGTCTTTCCTCCGGGAATGCTTTACCAACTTTACGATACAGACAGAAGAAATCTTTCAACTCTGGATTCATCTGGTGATAGTGAAAGCACTTCCTTATTTTTTTCACATCTTTATCCAAGTGCTTATGCCCCTCCCCCCGAGACACTCTTTTCCTGCTCTTTACAGATCTTTTGGCAGATCTTTTTTCTTGCCATTTTGCCAGCAGATTCTAAGAGCTAAATTTTCTGTCAAGTCATTTTGCTGTTTTTCCAACTCCCGGCATGCATTCTCCTAATTGCAGTGCTCCGTGCTTGGCTTCCAAGCTTCATTATTTGAATACACATCCTTAATGTTATGGAAAATGATCCCTCAACAAAAAGGTCTGACTGGCTCGTTGCCATTTTTTCCCTGAGCTTACCTGGGAAGAGAGCCTGTCATTACTATTCATAGAAGCACATGCACCGTTCTCATTGGTCAATATGTCAATTATGAATATTCATTAACCTGTGCCTTGGTGTCTGTCGGCTGGTATGTGGTAACAATGAGTGGGGCGGCTTTGCCCTGAGCCTTTGGTGTGTGACTATAAAGCCATATATGGTAACCCACATGATCACAGTGTACTTGTAATATATGCACTGAGGTTGAACCATCTGCACTTGGTCCAGAGTTATGGCGTTCTGACGTAAATAATTAATTGTCAGAAATAATGACTCTTACAGCTTTTTGAGTTGACTGTGTGCTATCACGTAGCCTTAAATGGTTAGAAGTCTGGGGCTTCCTTCAAATTTGCCCTTTGAAATTGATTGCTATTTGACATGTATTACGTTGCCTTTGTCTGTCGACAATTTTTATTTGGAAGGGAGACTTTTGGGGGAATTGTGATTCCAAATGTCACATTGAAAACTACCGTTGCGATATCAGGAATGCTG